GAAGCTAGGACATGATGAAGACCAGCCCGCTGTTGAATTTGGTGTGTTGTTTTTTGGTAGAGTGTCCGTTCTATAGAATCTATCTCTCTCGCTCTGTCTCTCTCTCTCTCTCTTTCTCGGTCATTGCCAATTGCCAGTGAAAAGTCCATTCAAAGTCCAGCACATCCAACCAAGGACTCAAGAGGAAGCAACGGCGTGGCAGGCTCGCCAGCACATGCCTCTAGCTCAGCTTGTCACTCTCCACCTGCAATTTGTTTGAACTTGCGGAGACTAGACTCCATGAGCAACGACAGGGAGGGAGAACAAAGCCCTCACAAGGTCAACTTGAGTGCTGGATTGCTTGGTTTCTGCTGTTTTGCAGCCAAACCATTTGTGCAACCTCACCTTTCTTCTGAGGTGAAAAGACAGCTGTCTCCGTGACTTGGAAGAAAAGCTCTGAAGCAAATCAGAGACTCAAGCACCATAATGTGTTGAATGCTTTTATACATAATTTGAATCCGTAGTAATTTGCTCGATTGCAACTGTGTTTTTTGCGAAAGTTTGCCTTAGATATGAAGTTGGTTTGCGAGACAGCAAGTCTAAGGGGTGCTACAACGCTACACACAGCCACTGTGTTCAATAATGCACTCTCACCATCATACTTTTGCCTGCCTCTATTGATCGCCACTGTTCCGCAGTTCTTGTTTGGCCTTAGATTGCACTAGCTCTCCGAGCAAAACACACAAAAGAAAGCAAAGTATCTTCAGTATGCCGTGTATGCCCCTCTTTTTCTGCTTCTGTCACGTGTTCCGCCTGCCAAGTGTTTCTGTCCTTAACCTTTGCGACCTGAAATTCAGCTCTTATTCTCCCTGTGCAGCTACCTAGCCAAAAGTCCTTCTACTGCTACTGGTAGTAGCATCTAAATTCACACGCTGCAAAGTCTTCAAATTCCAAGTGTCGTGTCGTGCCAGCTCTATTGATTGCTAAGTCCTGAGAAGTATGCAGCATTGCTACAGGCTCCGCTCTCGCTTTCTGATTTGATTTTTAGCCATCATTCCACAAAGTGCAACAGCACGTCATTGTGGATGCATGTTTCAAAGCCCTGCCACCACATTGCAGGAGAGAAGGGGCTCATTTTAGAGCATTTGGGTGTTGCTGATATTCTGGTAGTTTCCTGCAGGTGTTTCTAGGTATTGATTAGGCTGTCGTACAGACTTGACAGTTGTGGCGCAATCCCAGCCTTTGATGCTTGCAGGCAGCTGCCGTTCTGCATCAAGAGGAGGCGTATGCTTGGCAGAATGTAGACAGCAAATGTGTTCAATTGAAATAGATCCTGTTGGGAAGGGTTCTGGACGTTTCTTTTTTCTCAAGCTCTGCACATGGTCTGTGAAAGAGATTGTTCTGAGTTTTTGAGTTGCGTGCTCATTGTGCTCACTGAATCCTGAGTTTTCTGTCAGGAGGTTGTCCCAGGCCTGGGCACGCTGGGCTCCTTTGGACCTTTTGGAAGCCTGGGTGCCAACCGTGCAATGAGTGGCCTGTCTCCTCCACCCTTTCTTGCACAGAAGGTGGGGTGAGATGGGCAAGTATGATGAGATGTCAGAAACTTTGAAGGTCTTAGGCCGGAGAGCTTGAATCTCCTGCACCTTTGTGTGGTCCGCAGGAGCATACTCCGGTGAAGGTGATGCCGCTCAACACCCCCGAAGCGACACCCATCCATCCTGGCATATGGTCAGGCCCAGGGAAAGTGCGTTGTGAATCAGGCAGAAGCAAGATGGTAACAAGAAGCTACTAGTAACAAGTGCATCGCTTCTAGTAACAAGTGCCTTACTAGTAGTAACAAGGAGCTACTAGGAACAAGTGCATCGCTTCTAGTAACAAGTGCCTTACTAGTAGTAACAAGAAGCTACTAGGAACAAGTGCATCGCTTCTAGTAACAAGTGCCTTACTAGTAGTAACAAGAAGCTACTAGAAACAAGTGCATCGCTTCTAGTAACAAGTGCCTTACTAGTAGTAACAAGAAGCTACTAGGAACAAGTGCATCGCTTCTAGTAACAAGTGCCCTAATAGTAGTAACAAGAAGCTACTAGGAACAAGTGCATCGCTTCTAGTAACAAGTGCCTTACTAGTAGTAACAAGAAGCTACTAGGAACAAGTGCATCGCTTCTAGTAACAAGTGCCTTACTAGTAGTAACAATACAGCTGCTTCTGCCTGATGGCAAGTCGTGTCCCTTCAGGCAATCCTATGCAGCCACATCATATGCAGGCACTGCCAACCATGCCGCTTGCAATGTATTCAACGCCTGCAGCTACTCAGGCCGACCGCAGTGTTGGAACAATTGCTGATTATTCCATACGTTACAATCCTGAATGTGGGAATTGACACCAGGGCATCTGATTTCGGGGCACAGCAATTAGCGATTCTTCATTTGGTGAAGCAGATGCCCAGTGGAAGTAACAGGTGGATGGGCTTTTGTCGCCTGCATCTGCACCGCCTCCATCCCTGGGATCTACACCTGCACCAAGGAAGGGTTCTTCTGTGAGTAGCTGGTCCACCACTTTGGCCATGCACATATGGAATGCAACAGAAAAAACGGAGCTGCTTGTTGAGTTCAGTTTCAGGTTGCTTGTGAAAATCAGCCTTCAATTGAAGTCTCCATAGATTGAAGGGCTTGGTGTCCTTGTCTCAAGGAGCGTGGTGGTATCCAAGGGCACCATTGGCCATCCACATTCTTGCCGACGTTTGGGGTGCAAGTTCGCCTCCAAAGAACGTGGCTGTCGAGAAGGCCCATCAAAGCTCAGAAAGTTGGATGTCAAAGCTCAGAATGGGAAGGGAAAGGCAACATGTTATCATGACAACGCATGGAGTCCGAAGACATATGTAAAGGAGAACCAGGAAAAACCATTCATGGCAGAAAGATGCAGAAGGAACTTGAAGGAACCGGCACAAACAGTTCCGCCTCATCTTCCCGTGGACGAGCACGACCGGGTCAGGTGCCGAGTGTCCCAGATGCCATTTGTGTGTCTGGAGCCGTGCATCTGAAAAGGACTGACGTGACGTGTGTCGAGCACGTGAGGTGTCGCGTCTTTAACGACACGAAGCCTTGTTATCTCAACATCTTGCGAGCGGTCCCTTTTTTTTTTTTTTCTATTTTTGTTCTCAAAGTCGTATAACAAAGCCTTCGGGCCTTCTTATTCTCAACATTTGTTAGAATAGGAATTGCAACAAGAATTGTCACAAAACCATTGTCAAAGCAAACACTTTTGGAAGGCTTTGTTTCATTCTACAGTTGTCAGCTCTGGACGTGAGTGATTCGATCATGCCCTTCAAGGAGGCGAGCCAAGCTGCTTGAGGTGAAGCACGAGCGCATGTTGCTGAAGCTTTGGTGAGGAGTTCTAACAAGCTCTTTAACACCCTAAAATGTTTGTTCAGCTCCCATCAACTCCAGTTGGCATGGGATACATTGGAAGTGTCGGAAGTGACAATGCAACACCTCCGGACCTACATCCTAGCTCACGAGACGGATACGCACAGTTGGACTCGGTCGAAAGTCGAGCTGCACCAGCTGAAACTACTTTTGCAGACCAACTGCAAGCGCAGTTGTTTTGGTGACAAAAACAAGGAAGATCCTCAGCAAAGGTAACAAAGATCAGGTATCAGACATGAACGTACTTCTACATACACGTAACATAAATAACTATATACTATATGATTATAGAATGTAATTGCTATGTGACTAAGTATATATATATATTGATACATATGTATGTAGGTACATGTCGTAAAGTTGATTCAAGCAGAAGCTCGGTCCACTGCAAAACCCTCAAGCATTTTGAAGGATAGAACATCGTTGTACGCTCATTAGCGTCCATCGCACTACTGTGACATTGGAAGGTGTCAATGGCTTGAAGCAAATCTCTACAAGTAGTCATTCCGGTCCAGGAGTTTGGTCATGGTATGTCTGGTCAGGAAAAAGATGAAGGGTGCTAAAGCAAGGCACCTGACACTGTCAGTCATGCCGAGTAGGTGCCGATGTAGCATCAAGCTCCTCTCCAAAAGATGCGAGCCCTCAAGCTTCTTGCCTTCTTGGTCTCACTTCAAGGTGATCGGACGATTTGCTATGATGTGCAACGGCCAGTCAATTTGGACCATGCTACTGTTTCCTAGGTTCTGCCGACTTGCAGCATGTTGGGCCGCACCCACGTCCGGTTTTGAAGAATACTCAGCCTGGTTCAAACAGCCGGGACAACAATTGCCAGGTCATGCTGTCTTGTGTTTGCAAGACAGAAAAAATTGACCAAACTGTGTATTTGTTATCTCTTATGCCGTTTGATTTGACACCTTTGACACCTTTGTGACATTGTGCCACAAATGATCTCAATTCAGGGCTCGGTTCGGTTACTTGGCCCAGCAGAGAGCGGGCAGGGCGCCTTGGAGCGACCTGATGGCCGAACCGACCACTCGGCGGTTTTCAGAGTGCACTGCCGAAGTGGCAAAGCGTTGCCAAAATTTTCAACCACTTCGCTTGCAAAAGAAGTGAGATCACTTGAGCAAGCGACAGAATAGGTCAGCTGCTTGGTTCGTGGAGACCTGCAGCTGTCGGCATCGTCGGCACGAATTTTCGTGCACAATCAATCTGAGCAATCTGAAGGTTGAGATGGAGCTGACAACTGCGAAGACAAGGTTCCTTGACATTTCCCTCAACACTATTCCCCCCCAGTCACACGAATTGAAGTAGGAGTGACAATAAGGTCAGGCAGCCCAAATCCATCCAAATCCTCATGTCATGGATATTCAACAACGACCGATCTTGATTGAAAGGACAGGCTTTCACGGTTCGCAATTGGTTGGCCAAGACAGAGAGGGAGAGTTGCAGTGAATTTCGAGCAAGAAAAGTGCCCGTGTTTCGCTGATGCACGGTAAAGATTGACCACACAAACCAGGTCAGTACAGCTTCTGTCAGGGATTTCCTCCGCTTCATTCGTGCGGATTCAGAATGCAAGCCACCGATCCTTGATGTGAGGCAAGACTGCTCTCATCTGTGGATGCTGGTTGTGGCAGGTTGGGGAGATGAAGGGTATGCATTTACATTTACATGTGTAAATATATACATATGTATATATATATAATATATATATATATATGGCTCAAGGCTCAAGCCATTTCAGCATCAAGCTCGGTGTGTGACGCACATCGGGCCGAGCTCGAGGGAACTCTACACCACCAAGCTCCCCTTTGGCCAGATCGCGGACGGCACCGGCATCCACACCCATGACTTCTCCGGGCCCTTCCCGCTGGTGCAGAGGGTACCAAGTATGCCAGAGCACCTCTTGTCACAACTGGATCTGGCAGGACAGAGTAAGGGAAGGCACAGTCTGTCGGCAGTGTGGCACCTCATGGCCGCAACCTCCTCAAGGCTTTGCACCGAGACCTCCGCCACCAAGGCTTGCAAGATGGAAGAATTCCCGAAGTGTCACGCCGCCTCCAGGCCTGTGGAAAAACAACAACAGACCCAGCAAAGTCCAGAAACTTACTGGAGAGCTTCTTGCATCCTCATGGGACAAGCTTGATCCGGGTCTTCAACAGAAGTTGACCGAAGTCGGCATCTCACCGCCCCCCTCCAACTCCAGAGCCAGACCTGCAGGATGTGCTCAGGGACAATCTGGCGCAACTTCCAGCGCCAGTCAAGGAGCTGGTTGAGAAGATCACCAAGCCTCAGCCACCAACGGAAAAGGACGTTGCCAACAAGCTCAAGCAGCAGGTCTCCAGTCTGAGAGATCTCTCCCACAGGAAACAGAACCTGCAGGCCAAGATTGATGCCACCAAGAAGGCCTTCCAGGACTTGTTGAATGAGATGAAGCTCATCCAGTCCAAGATCGAACAAGAACAAACCGAGCTCAACAACACCAGCACGGCCTACATGACCCTGGTCAGCAAACAGCCTGACCCTGTGCACTTAGTTGAAGATGCTGAAATGAAGGATCCAGTACCAGAAGCAGTAGCTGGTTTCATCAGCACTCTTGGAGTCAGTCTCACACAAGAGCAGCAGGACCAGCTCAAATCGATGCTCAAAAGGCCCACCAGCCTCAATGAGGATGATGCCAAGCGCCGCAAGCTTGCAGAAGGTGACAAAGAACAGTCATGTGGGTAACAAAGCCACTGAGGCTTTGAAGCACGATTTGCATTTCGCTTCAGTTGACACCTTGGGGTTAAAGCCATGTTCTTTCATGGAAAGGGGAACTGGTCAATCAAGTTGCAGGGGAAATGACAACTTTGTTGACCTCATCGACCAACCTAGTTTGGGCTCAAGCTTCACTGCAAGAGCTCCTGCAGATGCATATGGACCTTGGCGGTCTCACTTTGCGGCCAAAGTCAAGGGAGGAGGAGGGCCATTGCTGGAACTTGAGGCACCGAGTTCTTCTACCTCTGAGCCTGCCCCCAAGGGTGGTGCGGTATACGGGACCTCAAGTTTCCAAGCTCTGGCTCACATCCTCCACGGTATGAACCCAGAGCAACAGTTCCGAGAAGCTGCGCATGAACAGCTCCCCCAAACAGGACATCAAGATCTTCAAACCTCCTGCCAAGAGTACCTAAGAGCTCCGACCCAAGACCATGGGCAGCAACTTTTGGCAGACCTTCAAAGAATGGAAAGACTGGTACACAAACATCAAGGACTTCAAGGAGATCCACCACTCATCCAGGCCAACTCAGGCCTGATTGCGCAAAACTTGACCAGTATTGCGGCCAACCATGGCAATCTTTGCTTTGGCAATTCCGTCTTCAGATGCTGGAGCTGGATGAGTTGCTTCACCATGGAACCCACGCAAACTTGGGGCAGGCTACATCAGGCCTTCAGAGCCTTCCTTTCTTCGTCTAGGCCATGTCTTCTGACCCAAATTCACGAGCTCATGGACGTTTGGGCTCACTTTGACGAACAACAACAAGCAGATGTGGGAGACTTTGTTGGGCGCCTCTACACCACGGCTGCTCCTCAGAACATTGGGGGCAAATTCTTCCACCTCAAAACCAATGGGGTCTTGGAAGAAAGAGAACAGGTGCCAATCAACCTCATCTGCCCTCCTGGAGAAGCAAAAGTCACTCTCGATGAACTTGTCACTCAGTGGGCCAATGAAGAAGAAGGGCAATACTTGTATGGAGCCCCCAATTGCTTGATCTTCCACATACAGCGTTTTCATTGTCAAGAGCACATGTGGACCAAGCATCACAGGCCTGTGGAGGTACCTACGGTCATCACCATCCCCTTCTCCCTCCAGGGCTGGCTACAGAACAGTGGCCATGATCTTACACCATGGCGAGACTCACCACAACGGTCACTTCACCGCCATTCATGCGCTGGACAATGCTTTCTGGAGTGTTGATGACAACCAATTTCCACAACCAATTGGTGGACTCAATGAACAACAAGAGACTGAAGTGCTCCAGGTATGGCTCGTTCATGATCCAATTGAAGATGATTCTGATGGCGCCTTGACCCCTGAACCGCCCATCAAGAAGATCAAAACGCATTATGAAGATGTGCTGATTTGCTTCGCCAATGTCACGACCTTCGGCAAAAAGGTTCAAGATTGGGTATGGTCCAAGGCTGATCACTTGGTTTTTCTGCAAGAAACACATCTCTCGGAAAGCAAATTGCAGGAAGCCATGCAGTATTTCGTCACCAGGGGATGGCGTGCCTTGGGAGTGCCGGCCACAGACACTGGACGAGGAGGTAACACCGGGGGGTTCCTTTGTTTCCATCCTCCCCATCACCATGTTCACAGCTTGCAACACTTCTGCAAGGAAGGAAATGGATGGATGGCAGTGGGTTACCAGCGAGAAGATCTACACATCGCCATCATACAGCTGTACTTGAGAACAGGTGAAACTTTGCAGTCACCTTTTGAACGCAAAGATCCTGGGCAACTTGTTTGGATTCTTGGAAACGCTCAAGGCTCCTTTCATCATCGGTGGTGACTGGCAAAATCCGCCCAATGAGTTGGCTGCTATGGTCGTTCAAAGCAAGTTTAAGGCTCACATTCTCAGTGGAGAAGGACCCACGACACTCCATGGCAGCCAGATTGACTACCTCCTGGTCTCCAACAAATTGCACGGCTCCTTGGATCTCGAGATTTCTTGGGAAGTCCCTTGGCGACCGCACTGTGCTCTCAACCTCAAGTATCACTGCGAGCATGTTTCCATTCCGGTCCAACAAATGCGGGCCTTCCCTCCCATCGGACGGGCTCTCAATCATGGCTGGTCCGAATTGCAAGAACCCAATGGACCCTTCTACATCCTCAACTACCAGATTACAGGCCTTGGCACTGATCTGGCTCGATGGTGCGCCAAATCAGAGAGCTACAGCAAATCCAGCAACCCAGAAGAGGACGTGGGTCTCAGGTGGACTTCTTTACAGCTCCATTGGCGGGGCCACATCCTGCTCAGCTGTGGAAAAAGGGAAGGCCAGCCTTCTGGGAGAAAATGTCAGTCAGGATCAGTGTCCTTCACCACAATGCCAACGAAGCTGTCAAACAGGACCTCATCAACATGGTTCCCAGCATTGGCGAACATGCCTCGGATGACCTCGATCAGGACCATTTCAGTTCCATACTACTTCAATGGCTTGAGCAAACACAACAGGATCCTCAAGCCCTACAAGACTTGGTCATGGCGCAAGAGCACCAAGCACACATTGGTCTCGCTTTAGCCAACTCCGAGGAGTACAAGACATGGCTAGCTCAAGCGCATTCCAAGGGCCTCAGAGGGCTATTTCGAAGCCTGCGGCAAAAGGACATTCCCTGGCAAAGACCCTTTCAGGACCTTCCTCTTCAAGAACGTCTTCAAGCCAGACAAGCGCAATGGGGAGCCATTTGGATTCCGGTCGATGAGCCTTGCCAAATCCGAGGCCTCAGAGAATTACGAGAGGATGCCATTGAACAAGCACGAACTCTCCAACCCATCAATCCTCTCAGTCTCCAACGGGTGATCAAGAAACTGCCCAACAAGGCCTCTGGACCAGACGGAGTCTCCTATGACTTTCTCAAGCAGCTCCCCTTCGAAGCGATTGCTCAACTGGCCAACCTGCTCAACCAAATGGAGCAAGAAGCTCTCTTGCCGACGCAATTGAGAATGGTCAACATTGTGATGATCCCGAAGAACCTCAAAGTAGAACGGCCCATTGCCTTGACGTCATGTCTCTACAGGTTGTGGAATCGAGTTCGCAAGCAGGACATTGTCAGGTGGCAGCTTTCACTTGACACGACCATGCCGTGGGATCATGCCAGGCCCAAGAAGGACTGCCTCTCCATTGCGGTCGGAAGAATGCTACAGTCAGAGCTTTGCAAACACAATGACATTCACACAGTCACTTGCTTGGCCGACCTCAGCTGCTTTTACGACACCGTTGACCTTGATAAACTCATCCAGCCGGCGAGGGAGCTCGAATATCCTCTGCTTCACCTGAAGATGGCCATCGACCTTTACCGAGGCCCTAGAGTCATCCAAGCGGAAGGTATTGCCACTGATCCGCAACACTACCGGAAGGGCATCTTACAAGGTCCGCAAGCTCCAGCCATTGCCAAGCTGGTACTCTACAAGCCTCTTCTTGAACTCCAACGTCAGCATCCGGCAGCTCTTCTCCAAACATGGGTGGACGATGTGTCTTTCGATGTCAGAGGCAGGGATCCCACCTACGTTGCCCAAGAAGCTCTGCAGTCCTACCGATGTCTGCATTCAGCCCTCACTGAAGCGGGTCTCAAGCTCAACACTGACAAAACCGGCTTCATCACGAGCTCCAAAGAGACAGCCACCGCCTTGAAGGCTTTGCTTCAACCTGGGGACCCTGAGCATTATGATGTCTTCCGGGACCTGGGCATCGATGCTACGGCTGCCAAAAGAAGAAGGGTGCCACAGGTTCGCAAGCGGTTCACCAAAGGGAGAGCCAGAGCGGGCATCGTGCACAGACTCAAGCTCAACACCTCGGTGAGATACCGGCTTCATCGTGGGGCGATACATCCAGTGATGACCTGGTGGGCCCAAGCTAACGGGCTAGCCCCACAACGACGACATCAACTCAGGTGAGGGCAGCCAGAAGTCTCAAGCTTCAGAAGTCCGGCTCGGTTGACATTGTCTTCGACATGAACAGGAAGCACCCGGACCCTGGTGATGTCATCATCCTCCAGCATGTCCACACCATCTGGAAGCTGTATCACAGTTTTGATGACAGTAAGCGGCATCTCTTCAACTCCAGCTGGAACCTCGCTCTTGGCCCCCTGCTGAAGGCCAAATATCCATGGCAGGTCGTCACTGGCCCTCTACAAGCTCTGCATGCCTACTTGTTGGACCTTGGCTTTGACATTCAAGATGGTCGCCAGTGGCGCAGGGTCGGATATGGGTTTGGACATGCTCTGGCCTGAGCTGACGATGCTGTTGCAACATGAGTTCAAGTGGCAACGCCTCATCCGGTTGACCAAGTACAGAGGTTGTGAACACTTGGAACAGCCCCTTGACTGGACCATGAGTCACAAACTACAGAGCGCCACCAGTGATCGGCTAGCCTGTGCCTTGAGAGCCTTTCATCAAGGCACTCTTCATGGCTTCACTGGTCAATGCCCTCTTTGTGATGTCGAGCTTTCCACAGCCCACCTCATTTGGGAATGCTCCTATTGGCAAGGAAGGGTCAAAGACATCCCTGATGAATGGAAAGACCACATCAGCCAGAACATTGAGCCTGAGATCTGGAACAGAGGACTCTCTCAGCTCCCCTTCCGAGAGCGTCATGGAGGTCCATCCACCTTTGTTGGAACGGGCAAGTGGCAAAGCCTACAACCATGTCATATTGATCATGGCCATGCGTGCTGCCTGGACATTGCGGCTACCTGTGCCGACACACGGCATCAACAGTACATCTTCGCCATTGGGATCTTTGAGATTGCCACCAAGGAATGCGTTGCTTCCATTTCCGGCATCTGCCCTGGGGAAGCCTCCAGAACCAGAGCCACCTTCTTTGCTCTCAAACAGCTTGCAATGCATCTTCTGGACTCCACTCATGTTGGCGTCTCCAACCTTCAGGTCTGGAAAGCTTGGACGCCTCATGTCGCCGTGGAGAGATTTCCGGACCTCTACAAGGGCTTGGAGTACGAAGATTTTGACCAAGTTCGCCCTCTTCTCTTCCTTTCTCATCTGCAACAGGAAGAAGGCATGAAGACCAGGAAGACGCTCCAGAAGTCCATCATGCGCATTGCACAGGAGCGGGCAAAAGCTGAAGCTCCCAAGGACTTCTTGTCTTACCAAAAGGCCATCGATGAAGACCTTGCTGACATCCTCACGGTCGCTGCAGAGAGAGTTGATCGAGTTCTCAGAGACTCTGAGCATTTTCTGAGGAAGCCCACGCAAATCACACAAGAGGTCAAAACACCGCTTCTCCAGCAAAAGAAGGATCTGATTGCCACTTTGCTCAGTGATCCAGGAAGAGGAGGGCGCCAATGGGAAGTTCATCGATCAGGAGCCATTTGCAGCCGATGCAAATCCAGGATCCACTCCAAGAGTATGATCCAGGAGATCAAGGATGCCATGGGCTCGGAGTGCCAAATTCCGACCCAACAGAAGATCACCAAAACTCCACGTATGGAGGTGATCAAGCAGCTGATCGACAGTCAGGACAAACCCCAACCAGGAGTGCACTTTTTGCGCTTAGACAAAGCGTACTTACGCTGCTCCCTCTGCAGAAGTTACATTTTAGCCAGGTCGAACGAACAGACCTTTGAGGAGTTTGTTGGACAGGTGTGTCATAGCGGTCCACTTCCGCCGTCAATGTGGGACGGACACACCTCGCACACCATGCAGAGACAGGGCAATGCAGCGGAATGCTCCAGGTGTGGAACCAGGAACAAGATCATCCAAGAGAAAGTGCTCCTCAATAAACGGCTCAAAGAGCCATGCCCTTCAAAGTCACAGGACTTACGAAGGATGTTCGCCTAAGCACCCTGTTGCACTGGAAAAGAACCGTGCAAAGAAAATATACTATATATATATACACAGTTGTATATTGTCTATGTAGTTCTTTATCTCCTTCTGGATTTTAATGGCAGCACTGCTCGAAACGATCACGTGTGTAGTCTTTCAGGTTGGTCTTCCGCCAGTTCCAAAAGGCACTGCAGGAGGCAGGGCCTGGCAGGGTGCTGTTTGACTGCCGAAGATCAGGGACATGGATAGCTCCTGGAATATTTGCTCCAGCTCTTTGGGCAAGCAGAGTCGAAGACAGCAAAAAAATGCCGATGCAACAGATGTGCGTGGGATCTGCTGAACCCTCATGTGAAACGCAAAGCCTCACAGGACTCGCTGGAGCCTGTGGCGGTTGTCAGAAGCCACAGATTTGCTGAGAGAATTTGTGCTGGTACTAGTAGTAAGGATGCTATTAGGTGGAGGCCATCGCAAGTAGGTTGGAGGCCATCGCTACTAGAAACAAGAAGCTACTAGTAACAAGTAAGCATGGTGCCAATAGGGTGCTAGGCCCGGCAGTATTTTCCATATTTGCAAATCGTCCATGGTCTCTTTGGAGCGCTCAGTCCGGGCGACCAAATGTGTTTGTGGACCAGGCAAGTGGGATCCGAATTTGGTTTTGTTCCATCACAATGAAAAAGACGAAGAACATGCAGAAATCCAGAGGCCAAGGGCATCATGCTGGACAATGCAGGATCACCTACGCCACCTGCTCTTCGAGGCTCATCCAGTCTGTGCAACGGTTGCAGGCATTTTCCTTCATGGCGATCTTGATAGGTATTATATACAACAAACAACAAGTTGAAGATGTCACTGAGCGGAGCGTGCTTTTCAATGCTTTTCATAGTTGTGTGATCGCGACAGGCGACGTTTTCCTTATTGACTCCAGCAGGCTTTCCTTGTGGCCCCCTACTACTGCTTGCAGTTGCCTCTTGTATATAGTACGACGGTGTATTCTTCTTCTCTCAGACCTTGGTCTGGATTGGTGCTGATTTCTCTTGCCTTTGAGACATTTCTTTGCAGGTGATATTCTTGTTCTGCTTAGAAGCAGATTGGTTTTGGTCTCATTCCCTTTATTGCCTGCCAGACGGTAGGTTCCTTTTTTTTGGTATTTCAGGCGCTCTCTGGCTTGCTTGCGAATTGTTTCTTTTGATTTGGCATTTGTCGCAATCTAGCTTCTGTCCTGGCACATGAATTACGTCCGTGGCTCTCGCCCCACCTGTGCCGTTGCAAGTATAGAATTTCTTGGGTTTGGTGAAGCCTCTGGATCTTCTCTTTGCTGCACCAACCCTGTGGAGTAGCCCTCAGATGGACAGCCTTTCCTTTTTTTCTGATGCCTCCAAGATCTTGGAATTCTTGGTACCACTTCCACCGCTGCAATTGCCAACGTTCAACCAAGTCAAGCAGCCTCTTCCCATGGGTCACAACCGGTCGTGTCACAACCGGCCGGATGAAGGTGACAATTCCAGACCGCACACGGATATCTCAAGGGAGGACTTCGTGAAGGCTGGCTGGCTGACTTTGTCAATTAGTTGCAGCCAGTTGGAGTCTGGAAAGTTTCCATCCTTGGGAGTTGATCCCAACCGTTCTCAGCAGGTTTGATGACCAAAGAGATTGATTTGGCTTGATCTTTACAGGCTAACCAGCTGGCCAGCAAGATGCAGGCCTTTCGAGCTTGGCAAATTGGTCGTTTTTTAGGTGTCGAGCCAAGCGAATCTTCGATAGCTTTGAAGAGGGCATTATTTAAGGGCTTACGCCCGACAGGGGCCGCCACATGGGTAAGGGGAAAGAAAGGGAGGAGGAGGAGGAAGTGTTGGTTTGGAGGATGTAGTTGTATGTAGTTGTAGTGGGGGTGGAAGGAGTGATAGTGGATGATGTGGGGGTAGGTGGTGCAAGCTGTATGCGAGTGGGGCGGTGGAAGGTATGTGTGGGAGCGGTTGTGGAGATGGGGGTAAAAGTAGTATGGTAGAGGCCATCCTGGCGCTGGCTATGTTACCCCAACTGGGCAATGTTGGGCCATCTTATGTTGGGCCATTTGGAGCTATGTTGGGCATCTTGAGGCTATGGAAGGCGGTCTTGGGCGAAGGTGGCGCTACAACATGTTAATCGTGGGAAGGCCACAAAAGACTGTAACTTGCAAAGATTTCAGTGGGTACGCACACTATGTCGGGCTATCATGGTGGCTATATTGGGACCAAATTGGCTTGTTTCTCCATCTTGGGAACACAGCACTGTAAATTATGACGGCAATGTGTATATTGGTGGTAAGCTTTGTGGGAAACTAACACTCAGTTATGCGAGTTATGCGTGGCAAGCTGGGGGGCACAACTCGCACCACCAAAACCTCTTGACCAGCAATATACATAGCCATACACAGCGATGTGCAAAACATGTAAAACATTGGAAGACAACAAAGCACCGCGACATGCACTTCGGTCACTTATGCCAGCTCAACTTGTTTGAAGTCGATGATGTCCATGCGGGAATCCACATGCTTGTTGATAGGAGGGATTGGCCAAGTATGAAAGGGCATTAGAAGCAGTTCGAGCTTAATGGTGTTTTGGGAAACGGCACTTGGGATTGCTCCAATGTTGCCCAGTAGCAGAGCTGATGAAAACCAAAGGGCCTTTTGATGTAGGCAGCGTCATGACGGTCCTGATTTGGCGTAAAGCATTGGGAGTCACCCGCCTTGAGGAAGCTCAAAGCAAGACTAGAGCAAGAGCAAGAATAGTTTTCTTGTGTCTGCACGAGTGTTGTGCAAAGTGCCCCACAGGTATATCTTGAGATTATCACATCTACTTGACCTTGGCATTCGCACCATTGTGATCATCCTTGTTATTATCACCATCATCCTCGTCGTCGTCGTCCTCCTCCTCCTCCTCATCATCATCATCATCACCTTGGGATGCTGGGCTGAGATGATTCTGTTTGTGTCTCCCTTAGTTTCCTTTTGTCTGCCTTCGTCTAGGCTCTCTTGGATGCTCTGAGATGATTCTGCTATGTCTCTGGCTTTGTCCCCCTTTGCCTCCCATGGCTTTGTCTGTCTCGCCCGCCGCTATCGTGCCTGCACAGAGGGGATGAGTGGTGAAATAGTTCGGAAACAAGAATCATGTGTAGAGATGTTACAAATCTGTGGGTAAGTCTAATACCTGTCTCTGATAAGCCACAGACCCGTTTCTGACACCATTTGCACTTCAACGGCCCCGCTTCGCCACCTCCCTCCCTCGCCAAAGCCCCCCCCCTCGCCCAACAGATGCCGAACACAAGCCGCTCGACAAGCACGTCGGACAACTGCCACAGGGCACTGTCCTTTGGCGCGCTCATCATCGGCTGGGGTTGGCGGAGATGGAATTGTGGTAAAGGGTCATTGTTGCCTTGGATGCTTGGCCCAGCCATTCGTGCGCGTCACAGGCACTGGGACCTTTCCGCAGCAATTTGGTGGTGCCCAGCAACGATCCTTCCATCAACAATCCTCTGGTGCCTCATGAGGCACATTGTTTGAAAGAGACTTGTTTGACCACTGCATTTTGAGAAATTGCCAATCAGAAAGCAAACTACCAGGTCCAAGGCATAATCAAACTAAGCGCAATCTTCTCTGAACGTCGGAGTGTTGTGAAAGATGCTGTATCTCAGTCGGTCTTTGTGAACGGCAGTCCTGAACCGATGAACTAAGGAACAAAGTGATGACACAGGCCAGGACTCGGACTCAGAGCATTAAAGGACAGGTTCCATCAGGACTGGACCGGAACGGAACCGGTCGGGAGCTCGTCGCCGAGTCTCGGTCGCCTCACGTGTTGGTCTGCTCGTCGCCTGACGGATGTGAGGGCGGGATACGATGCGAACGGCCACACGTGCGCCCATTTGCATGTGCCACACGTGTGCCACACGGCTACCCGCCAAAGTACAGAATTCCAAGCTTGCGGATGCCCGGCACGAAAGGTATGTTCATAAGTGGAGAGTTGGACCGCGCCAGTGTCATCCTTGGAGCAGCAAGCTTCAGCTTAAGATCTGAGGAACAGTATTTGGCTGTGGGTCAAAACCCAGAGCCACAAACCTTGGTAGGTTGACCTCCTTAGTAGTTCATTCTGTTCATTTTCTGTGGTCAACCACCCGGTTTTGACCCACAGCCATTTCTGTAATTGTTACCCGATCATTCATTGCCATGCATTTTGGCGTCCTTATCACGGATTTGACAAGATTGTTTGACAAGGCTATGAGCAGTTCCTGACCCAGCAAGGAGTTCTGCTGAAGCCTCGGCAGGGCTAAGGCACGCTTCAGGAGCTCAGCATTGTCCGGGCACGCGTGACACGAGTCTGTGGTTAATTGATACAGATGACGGCAAATACTATGGACTACATGCTTTATATCACCAAGCATGCCATGATGAGGTTGACATCAGACTGTGATCTTCAGAAGCTCATTGTCAGCCACGAACGGGTGCGCATCCTCCAGTTGCAGGATTGATTGAAAGCCTACTGGTGCATACTGCTTTTTACAACTTGCCTGGGATGGTGGCAAGCTTCTCTCAGCCTGAATGAGGCATTTTCAACGTTCATGTACATTTTCCTCGAGCTTGCTAGGCAGACAAAGTAAAATGTTTAATGGTCTGGATCTTCTGACACGCATGCTTAGAAGACTTCTTGGCCGCCCTTGAAATTTGGCTCAACAGAGCACCAGAGCTTGTTCGCTTCGGCAAGATGACCGGGCAATGGCTAAACTGGAAGATGAAATAGACGAGGATCTAATTGCATCCAGGTGGAGTGGCAATGGTGGCAATGTGGAATGAATTTTCTTGGCGTGTTTCGTTCCGTTTGTAGAGCCGAGAACGCTCGTCGGCCGACGCCAGGTCCTGGCTTGCTAAGTTGGGTGGCCGACGCCTCAAGGCGCCTAAGGCGCGAAGGGTGGTGCCCACGGTAGCCAGGCGCGGCTCAAAGCTTGTGCAGTGCAGGAGTGTTGCAAGGGGAAATCACAGCCTGTTTGGCTTAGTTCACTCACTTGTAAAGTGGTCTGCTCAAGAAAAACACATGGAAAACAGATAACCTGGTATGATATCTCAAGCTGACATACTTCAATTATTCGTCTCAAGCTTGCGAGGTGGTTAGCCGACAGAGGTGCTCTGACAGCCAAAGGTGAACGGCTGAAAGGAGAAAGGTACGCCTACCAGAGAGGGTGAGACACACTTGCCAATTAGATTAAAACGCAAAAAACCCAACAGATATTCTGTTTTTCGACAGAAGGCAGTGAGAGAGCACTCTAGTTGATCCGACCTGACTGTTGGCGTTTGTTGACGGTCAATGTGTTTCCAGGGCGAGCCTCAGCAATGTTGTACCACTCCCTCCTGCACCAGCGGGGGCCTTTGTTACTGACAGACTGGCTTTCTTTCCCAACGGATGTGCTGTGGCGGATAAAGAGCAACATGGAACACAGCTTCTTGACGCTTTACCTTTCAACACATATGAGCAGCTGCATGTTTCAGTGTCATGCCGAGTCTTCCGCACCGAGGTGGTGCACCTTTTGGGTGCCAAAACGAATCCACGCCGCCCACGCCGGTTGCATCGAGTGCTCTCGGAGGAAACCTCTGAGGACGGGCAAACCACTTGGAGCGGAAGCAAAAAATAGACATCTATATAACACTGCAGGAAATCTACAGACATCTCCCTCTATTTTTTGAACCCGCCTTTACTTGATTAAGTAGGCGCCTACTTAATTAAGTAAGGATATGTTCGCTCGTAGCTACTTAAGCTACTACACATGGACGCAGATTAGCGCTCGCACTATTCATGTGGTTCCTAGATTTTCAGGGAAACTTACTGCAACTTGCTCTATCTGTGTCACCATGCAATTTGATATCATAATGTAATATCATATAACGAAGTTCAGAAATTGTGAACATCCGATATCATTTCATACTGAGATCCTCAAAGATTTCCCCAAAGCCTCAGGATTTCAAAGAGCTTGATGAGTTTGCAACAACATTGACTTCCGAACTGCCCATTCTGCCCAAAGAGGCAAATGCAGGCCACTGCTGCACTACTATTTAATTCTTTTCACATTGACTGCAAAAATGCATGGCATCCACTTCCTGTGCACAAGCAATCGAAAGCACAAACGGCGTTTTCCAGGCAAAGTCTTGGAGCAGTTTGCCCATGGTGCGAGCATCGGCTACGGAAGCGTTTTCTGTACTGGACCTGATGTTCCACCAGGCCTTCATCCGCAAGGCTCGTCAGGGAAGAACCTCCAGTGGTGTAGTCTTTGACATATCTAGAAATCAATCCTGTTAGGACTCTGAGTTAGGATCAACGATTTGACATACTCTGCTGGGAGGGCTGCGCTTGCTTCGCATCACCCAGATCGGCCGCGTAGACCACCGAAAATCGGCCGCTTTCTGAGACGTCGGCAGATGCAACTTCTATTCATCTCGATGGTCATCAAAAGCAGGCCCATGTATGCTCCGTCGCGGAGGAACCAGACATTGCTTGGTGTGCGCTCTTAACAGTTGGCGACTATTGTTGGTCTTCTTTGCCCTTGTTGACTCAGAACCACCAGTGATCTTTGGACGAGGGACTATTTCAGTCCTTACTGAGTCCCAACCGCATCAGCGTCGATTGGACCATCGAGGCAGATCTGTGCAGCACCGCAACATCCAAGTGCACATCGCAGTGCCGACTTGATGAAGGGTTGGGTGCCAACAGTCCAGTGAAACAACATGGCCCCCGGCATCCCAAAACGTGACTCGTTTAGTGGCATCGCCCCACCTCGTCGTTCAATCCTGCAAGAGAGTCCAAGCCCAAAGTGTTCGAAGCAGCAGTGGCGTCGAAGCTTTTTGCCTCCAACGTGCAGAGTCTTTTCAGTGTGGATGCCAAAGCTTTCTCTCAGGAAGTTTTTGCAGAAGCTGCATGGAAAAACTTCACAAAACAGTATATATGCATTTGTGTGTTTCCAACGCAAGTTCTCAAAAGTCACTCAACGGTGTCCGAAGGCAAGAAGCGTGCGCAAAGGCCCTCAATGATGCGAATCCTTTCAGGCACTGGAACATAGGGTAGTATCTTCGGGTGGAGAAGTCAAATTTGTACCAGCCAGTTTCCTTGAAAATTGAAGATCGCATGGTATCTAGATGTATCCATATAGTATATTCAAGGAAATGCCTACACTTTGCAAATGGATGCGGAGGACAGAGCATGAGCATTTCGCAGAGCCTGGGGACGAGCGATGTCATACAATGGAAGAAACGAAGAGAGAGCCCCTAAGATGCAACCTTATCAACTTTGCTCAACTTGACACCTTTTAAGTTTTGCCAAGAACTATTTAAGAGAAGTTCCCATCCCAAACCTCAGAATCTGTTCTGTATTCTGATCCTATATACAAAGACGGCTGTCCTGGTCAGACATTGTTTTACCGGCCAAAACATCTGCCTGAAGCGTCGGCCATCTCGGCGCCGTGCCTTTGAGGTCTCGTTTCTGTTGCGTCATCGCAGGGTGTCACGCAGTTGGCCATGAACAGACCTGATCGAGGCTACAGATTTCTTGCTTCACTACACTTCCAAACTGTGCTCATGTTTTGTGGGGTTGCTTCCTGTTGCAGTTGCACAAGAGCCAACTCCATCCATGGCCGTATCACTCGACAATTAAGCTACCTGCTCCCCCGCAAAAAATCGGACTAGATTTGCTCAGCAGATTGTTGTTTCTTGAATGTTTTAGTTGAAAGAGCTCAGTCATCTTCGTTGCAAAAAGGTGGATCGCCAGCTGAGAAGCTCGTAGATGACGAAGGTGCCATGTTTTCGCTGAGAAAACATGTTTCTGTAAGCAAGCATGGACACCTTGCATGGCATATCGACTTTTGTCTTGCTCTTGCACTGCAGACAAGCTTATGGACTTGCCATTTCAGGACTGGGATCCATAAAGTTATAGAAGTAGCAATCAAGGTCTATTTGTTTGTCTATAGGTATGTAAATATATACAGCATTATACACAGTATATAAGTCACTGGAACAGGATTCAAGTGCAACAGCTGTTGACTCTACTGTTAGCAATGCTATATCGCGTTGTGCAGCTTTGAACAAGCGTGGTTTCGGTTTGGCTACTTTCAGGACACTGGTCACGAACGCCAAATGCTGCCCTGGAAGCCGGTCATGGTCTGAGGAAGAAACAATAGCTTTAGGCGGATCCGTGAACCGTGTGAGGGTTTTTCTGGTCGCAGCTTCGGTCTCAAGCAAAAACTCCGTGACTGAGGCCCGGCAGCTTCTGAAGCCTGGCAGCATCGCAACAGTCCACACTTCCAGGGCTCAGAGTGCACGTGGCGGTCTCAGCTTTGATGTCTGAAACAAGAAATAGCAATAAGTTTTACGATTGACTTATATACATTGTAACTTGTGCTTTTAGGGCAGGTGTGGTGGACACATAATCATTCATGTCAGTGGATCTCACTTGAGTTGTGGCATGCTGCATATACATGTGCCGTTGCCGCCACGTATGCTCAAGTGACCCAAAACGGCTTCAGGTGAATTTCTTTTTCCCACCCACCCTACCCTGAAACAGTTTGGTGTTACCTTCATTTGTTTTGGGGAGGCCAGCTGAAAGCCAAGGCCAGGAACGAGTGCCGGGTCCGACCGGTGGGTGAGGCCCACCAGGGTGCCCTGTTGTGGTCACCCCTCGCCCCGGGTGCGGCGGCCGGGTGAGACCAACTCCGAGGGATCGTAGTCTCTGTGAAGGCTACAGGACCCTCCGGTTGGCTGGAGAGAGCGGATGTTGAGAGTTCTCTTCATGCCGGTGAAAGGAGTTCACCCCCTGGTGGTCCTAGGAGTGCGAACCAACGCAAATCGGAAGAGTGCTTCTGATGACTCGTAAGAGCTCACGGTTCCCCAGTCCCCTTGCGAACGGTGAAAAAGGAGTGAGCTGTGCTGTAGTCGACTGATCTGAATGTTATTATGATTTTTTAAAACTGTATATATTGCATGCTGATCAGATGGTGACTGTAACTCGGCATTTTGAGGCGCTTTGTCGGCTCGATCTGAAGTGGCAAAAGAACATCCACACGGTCATACATGGTCATCTGGCCCTTGGCTCAATAGGCACCGACACCGCAAACAAAGCTTGCAATATCCGGCTTCTCCGTGCTTGATCCACTCATTTTTCGTGAGTTTGCCTAGAGTGCGCCACCTCGTGACATGGTGCAGGCTACCCGACCGGAAATGGCATTTACGACAAGCCTCGATCAGTGCATCTCTAGCAAGCATGGCGTACCACGGCTCCTTGAACCAATCGGGTTTGAAATTCGGTGCAGGATAGCTGGGCTTCAACAGATCGGGGCCAAACAATTCAGATGACTGTTTTTCCCATGTTCTCTTCACATTTTTGATTCTGTGCCCTACTTGTACGGGGCACAAAATTTGGGCGGATTCTTTGCTTTTCTTTGCTTTGGTTGTGGACGGCTAGTTTGGACAGAAATGCCACAAACAGTTGACACACACACACACACGCACACACTTCTACAATCTTCTACATATGTGCACTTAGTTTATACTTATGTCGTTAAACAATTTATGATGATTGGGGTGACAGGCTTTTGCAGATGCCAGCTTCATGCGGTGAATTATTTATATACTGCTTTAACTGCTCACCCCCTTTATATCTTTTCCCCTATATGCATGGGCCGCAGGTTTGTTCTTTGCAGCTTAGGACGGCCAGTAGTGACCCTTCAGGAACTCAGCGCAGTGGAGGAAGGCAGGGAATGTTCTTGAGTGATGGCAGCCTTGGTAGTTGTGAAAGGCAGCTAGTCGGAACCATTGTGCTCAATTTGCAGGATCGCCAGGCTCTCCACAATCACTTGGAAGTGACTCTGCCAACACCTGGAGTTGAGTCATTCGATTTCTGCTAGCGAGCTAATGCGAGGCTTGTGACCTTTTTGTATATAGATGTTCTTTCTCTTGGAACTTAAGGGATTTTCTTTATTTTTCGTTATTCCTTTTGTTTTTAACGCCCGGGGGGTAGGCCGAGATGAGGTAGGAAGAGGTAGCTAAAAGCTAGGTAGCTAGTGGAAGCACTACCAGGGACAGCAGAATTGCTCACGCACTAATCATTTGGTTCCTAGACTTTTAGGGAAACTTAAGTTCCTCCCACAACTGTTTAGTAAGTGCACTGGAAAGTCACTTTTCAGTGTGATCTGACACGCCACCCTGATATTTTCGGAGAGTAGTTTGAGGCGAGGTCAAAAACTAGGAATTCCCTCCAAGGCTAATCGAACAAGTGTTCAACCATTTGATGTCATGTGTTAGTGACAGGCTCATGTTTGATTCAGGAACTCTGCAAAGTTCAGTCGAGTACATGCACTTCCAAGGCCATTCCACTTTTGGCATGAAGTGCACTCTTTTGCACATCTATTCAGGACAGAAAAAGAACTGGGTTTGACGGCTCTCTCAGCATGGGAGCTACATGGGAGGCAATCATTTAGATGCTGTCCAAACCATCCCGAAAGATCCCTGATGAGCTTCGCGAAAGTATCTCTATTATTTTTTGTGTCATGAACGATTTATCGAAGGTTTTCATTTTCATGTTATTTCCTTTCTACCGACATATGGTAGAAATACAACTCAATCCTCCGATCCCCACCCACTGTCACAGACTAACGAACTGAAGCCTCAACGTTTCCTTGCCCGGCCCTCACAGTGCGTAAAGAATTCTCCGGTTCCTGTCACACTGTCACAGACTAACAAACTGACAACTCAACTTGTCCGTGCGCGGCCGTGACAGTGCGTACAGACTTGCCCTTCCCCAAGACAGACACTGCAACTGGACTGCACAGCCGCAGCGAGGCAACGATCCGCAGCGACAGGTCGTGCAGATGCGACAGCGCACGATATGCCGAAATCACAGCAAAAGATCCGCCAAAGTCCCCAACTTGACCCTCCCCAACATTCCACGAGCTGCATAAGAAAACCCTGTGTTGGTAGCTGGCGCGAGGGTTGGATTGAGGTGTGCCTCTATCCTAAGCCTCCTCCAGGATAGTCGTCAAGGTTTGTCGCGCCGACGCTGTAAGTGAGCAGCATGTTTTTAATTGAATAAACACATTTGGATTAGACCGCAGCTCACCACATGTTTGTGATGGCACTTGTGTGATACATTATTATATGTGGCGAAGGCTCGCGAAGCCTTTGGTGTAGGCTCTTGGACTTCACACAGGCGAAACCATTTCGCGAAGGCTAAATTAGAGTGTGGGGAAGGTTGTGAGAATAGTCCGCGAAACCAACTCGCGAAACCTCTGGTGTTGTGCGAAGCCTCGCGAAGCCATCCTTCCCACTAATTCTGACCCTGCGAGCCTCCAAACATAGGCAGCTCAGCAGTGTATAGGCACTTTACCTTGAAAAACACATGGCTCAAGTGACCCTAGAGTAACTGTAGCAGCTCTCAACCTTTTGCGTAGGTCATGCTGCAACAGTCACTATTTGTTGATATTTGCAATAGCAGACTCTCTGTCTTGTGCTCCGGTTGTGACTTCTTGTCGGAGCAGTGTGACAGCGTTGCAAGACATGTCTTTTTGCATGTGGTCAGGCTGGAGTTTAGACGATGACTATGCCTGCACCCTTTTCCGGCAGAGCTTTGGATGCTGTCCGAATTCTTTGTGAAATGGGTCACCTGTTGACTTTTGACAAAGTCAACTGTTCTTTGGAACCAGTGCAGAGATGTAGTCGAAAGGGTGGGGTTTTGACCATGCTCTTCCAAACTTGAGGTAGGTATCAACAATTAAGTTAGTCACTGTTAGTCAACTGTGCCTTTTTGTTCCTGTTGTAATTCACGTGATCAATCTCTGAGGATAAAGTTCCAGGATCTTTGTGTGATCAACCTCTCGGAAAATCGTCTTAGCGAGAGCTTTGTCACCTTCCTTTTGGAGGCGCGATGGTTCGATTCCGTTTGATCAAAGTACATGACTGATCGTGAGTGTAGCTAGTTTGTCCTGGAGACGCTTCAGTTTACAAAGTCTATCATGTTTCACTGTTTCACATGAAAACACGTGCACAGTATGGGTTGGACCATCCAGAGACACCCTGATTCGATCCAGCCGAGGTCTCTCAGCATCAGCCTCTCCGGAATCTACACAGTTTGCACCTGGCAAAGAACCAGCTGGGGCCCATGGGAGGTGCAGACTGCTTGTTCGAGTTTTGATAGATACGAGCTGTGCGCATGTGCGAGGACAATCTGTGGCAAAATTGTTGGAAGTGGTGAAATGCCCTTTACGCCACTTTGACATCTCAGACAATGCACTCGGTACCTTGGCAAGATGAGTCTGGAAACTCTGCCAAGATGCCAGAACTGGTAAGTTTTCTGACGACTGAACCGACTAGTGGATACGGCCGAAGCAGCGCTTTTGATTTGCAGTGCGATCACTTGAGGCGATGCAGCTGCTGCAACATGGCATGGATATCAGCTTGCAAACGTGTGATGGCATTATTGATCTCCATCATTGTAACACAGAACTGTTGACCTGAAGGACCCGCTTTGCGTTTAGTTTAGTGATCGCCCAGCGCATCTCATCCCTTTGAATCCATCTGATCTCAGATCGATGAGGCACAAATCTGCGACTCCCTTCGACAGGTGTGGGCTTGGTATACTGTAGGTGAGTTCGTAGGAGCGGCAAAAACCACTCATGGCCACTCTACCTGCGCGTTCAGAGATCCCTCTTGTCGAGGCGTGTCGAGCGAGCCTACAGGGTTTGCGCATGGCCAAGAACCTCCTGGGCTCTGCACGCTTTGGTGTTTCCGTTCAAGCCCTTTTACCACAGGCTGTCCCTGGTCCAAAGGTGCATATACAATGGTGCCTAGTGGCAATCATGTCATCATATCATTGAAATAATCTAAACTTGATTTTGTCTTGACGAGACCTGGTTCTCCCCGGACCTTCAGGTTCATTTACAAGCTTTGGACCTCCACTGGAACAAGATTGATGGTGGTGACGCCTGCGCCATTTTTTCAAGGCTCCGTGGGTCCGTTGTTGGAACATCTCCGCAGCTCCTCAGCTGTCCGGAACATCGGCAGCTGAGGATTTTACAGTGTGGACACACTAGCTCTTGCTTTGGTTGAGAGCGCACGCCATGCCATTTGTGTTGCCTTTGCTTTTGTGTATCCACTGACGGCTTGCTGTGGGCTTGTCGTTTGCATCGGCAGCTGAGGTTTGAAGGCCAACTCGCGACGCAAGGGGAAGCTTTCGAGCGTGAACCTTGCATGGAATTGCATTGGATTAAGATGCTTTGCTGCAACAACTCGTTGACAGCCTGAAATAATTGATTCATTTGAGACAGCTGACTGAGACTACCATGGGACAACGTGCTGCTTGGAGTTTCCAGCTTGCAGCTTCAGGATGTCAGAGCTCGAGTGGTTCCTGCAGTTGTGATCTTTGCGGCAACTGCACGAGAGCAGTGAAGACGTTGGCTGGTGTATTCTCAGCTCCTCAGCAATTTGGACACGGAACCAGAGAAAGCATAAGACAACGGCCGGAATTCAATTGGTTCTTCAGGCTCTTCATTGTTTCAGTGTTGTCCCGAATTTGTCCTCTGAGATACAGCATTGTGCCGAGCCATGTATCACATAGAGTGACACGTCGAGCGTCTCTAGGTCTTGGGCATAGGCATAGTACTGAGTGCATACGGAATTCTTGCTTGCTGAAGCTGAGAAACGGGTTGTAGTTCTAGACGGCATCCTGTAGAGCCGGTTGTCTCTTGGTCTTTTGGCCTGCTTTTGGTGCCCTTTGAGTAGGCTGAAGGGCTTGAGTCCTTCACATGTGGGATTCCTGTCGATTAAGACGTCAAGGCTAGCCTGTTGTGCTGCAGTTGTAGCAATTTCTGGGTTTTTGCCAGAGGTTTTCAAAGCATGTTGTTCCTTGTGGCTTGCATATCCCAAAGTGCGCAGCACACAGGTTTCCACAAGCAAAGAGATTGGAAAGAAGTCCATGGTCCGGACGATTGAATTGCAGCTGTTTGCCACGAGGAATGTGACACCCTTTTCCACTTGGACCTTTCCTACAACAGCCTCTCCTCTGCGGACTGTGAAGTCTTTGCTGAAGCACTGAAAGCAAACCACACCCTCTTTGGTCTACATCTGGCAGGCCTAGTTGAGTTCATTGACAGCAAGCACTGAAACTTAAGACATTCAGTGTCCTTCCGAATTGCCTGTTAGGTTTCTGCTTTCTACCAGAAGAAACACTCCTGACCAGACTCGAGCTCTCTAGAATCGTCAGGATGAAGCTTTCTTTTCTTGACAACTTGAACCACATGAAATTTGCCCATATATGAACTAGTATGAACTATGTTTACGGGTTCTAAAGTCTAAACTGAAAATTGAGCAAGCTTATTCCAAGTTCACTCCTTTCATCAACTTGCGTAGGCAATGGTGCCTATGTTGACGACATTGGGATGGTTCGCCCGCAGCTAGAGCATCGCGGTGCCCCTCGAGAGGTGGAGGTTTGCCACAGCTGTCTGTGCTGAGTTTCCAGCAATGGCTGCATGTCTTCCGGTTTGATCAAAGACCTTCTTTGTTTTGACCGCAAGGGGTAGCGAAGGCTAAGACTTAAGTAAGGATAGCAGTGACAGTTGCCTCCTGCAGAGCATCACTGTGCACAGGAGCTTCTTCAGCGCGAGCGTGTCAGGAGGCAACTGGATGGCTGGGTCCGACTCCCCAGTGGTGTTGACTCAGACTTTTTTTAGATTAAAATCCCGCCCTTACTTAATTAAGTAGGCGCCTACTTCATTAAGTAAGGAGTAAACAGTAAGCTACTAGCTACTTGGACCCTAGTATGGACGCAGGATCGCTTCAAGGAAGCTCCCCCCGTAAAGTCCTAAAGGCGGCGGGGGGAGCTTCTTGAAGAACTCGCACTAGTGATTTTGAGGCAAACTTGACCGGTGCTGAGACGGACCTGCCATGCCAAAGAGTAAAGAGACATGAAGTGGAGCGGGCCTGTCTCCGAAGAGTCATTGGAGCGTAAAATGCAGAGGACGAGCAAACATGGATACCAATCACATGGACAGATAGTCAAGAACAACAAGGCGGAACATGGAGAACTGACCAATGCGAAGAGAGTGATGGAGAACGCCAAAAGTTGAGGCCAATTCCCCTCCCAACTTTGCAATGCTTTGCCGTCTTTGCCCCAAAGGTCCATCTCTTGAGAGCGATCAAATTGCTCTGTTCAACAGAGTGGTAGGGTACCGGAGTCGCTCTAAACTCCGGCCGGGTCAGGAGGTGTTCTTTTTTTGTGTGACGCTGCGACCTTTTGCTGCTGGAAACAAGCTGCGACATCACGAAAAGCTGTGGCATGGGACAACTGCTTGTCGCAAACAATGCTTGAACAAGTTGAAGCCAAAGACGTGCCAAACTCAAAGAACAAGTCTGCTTCTTAGATGACTAAGCTTGGTCTCAAGCCAACCTGAGGTTCGGAGTATGCCTCAGCAGCTACGACCAGAGCGCATGGGACGCTTTATTGAGGCATGACATACTAGGTTGAAACGTTGGGAATCAAACCTGCACGTTTTTACTCAGTGTTTCATTTCTTATGCTGGGAGCTTTCTGATTGTTGATCATTGCATTCTGGGATGAGAGAGGGCACTGAACAGTAGGGATGGCGGGTACTCGTGCCCTCTACCTACGGCGGGGCACGTTCAGGAAGTGAAGCTAGCGAATGAGCCGTTTAGTCCCTCTTTGCGTCGAGCTGCTTGGATGCGCAACGACCAAACAGCGATGCGGATGTCAATTCCTCTTGCCTTTGCTCTCTTACAGCCAGCATTTTGGAGCGGCCTTGTCGCTTCTGCTCTTGACAAGGTGGAGAAGTCAGACGTGTTTTCTGATGGTGACCTTGGGCTTGAAAAGGCGTGGATTAGCTTTCCTTGTACAGATCAGCTTCAAGAGCTTCAACTCTATGCGCCAACGTTCGGTTTCTTCAGTTTTCTTCAGTGGTTGACTTTGAAAAGGCATGGGTTGGGGTGCATGCCAAAGTGCAGCCTGCACCCTTCTCCTCGCACCTGGAAGAGGTGAGGATACGCTGAAAGACACCGGTCATATCGATGACAGTGACAGAATCTAACTGACACCTAGACTCCACTAACAAGGTTCGCTACTATATAGGGGCTCCTGGCATCGCTACGAACGGAGCAAAGGATGCTAGTAGAGGCTCCTGGCCTTACTACTAGGAACATAGGACGCTACAGGGGCTCGACCTCTCCGTACCTCGCTTCAATCAATGTGGCCCCGCTTGAGCTCGTTGAGGTCAGTGCAACTGAAAGCTGCTGCTGGATTTGTGAAAACTGGGTGGAGCAAGAGGTGTGCTACATCCCAGGCAAGCTTTGTGAGTTCACTGAATAAGCAGCCCTCATCGTAGACTCCGGTGGTGTTTCTGAATATCAGAAGTTGTTAAAGAAGTGAGAGGAATACAGTTGTAGCTGCTTCAAAGCTCCAGCGCTGGAGCGGACAGGTTGGTCGGGTCCAGCTTCAGCAGAAGAAGTGGTAGATGTCTTTGCCTACTTCAGTGTTGATGGCTTCTCAAGGTGTGCGGGAACAGGGCAAAGTATGTTGTTTGCATGCTGGACGCAGTAAGCAAAGTCTGATTGCCTTGATGTGGGTGTAGGAGGAGATGTTTGCAACATTGCAACATGAAGAAACCAAGAAGGAAAGGAAATCATTTGACCGGCCAGAACCTTTGCGTGAATGGTTTGGCCATCTTGATGTTCTGGGTGAGCAACTTAAAGTGGAAAAAGCTCTCAAAACCACGCGGAGGGACGATCGGATCGGATCGCCCCGGGAGGGCGGGCCGCGGAGGCCCAGCCGATTGAACCGGAGTTTGGAACGCTTCTGGGCCCGGGACTTCGTGGACGCTGCCCAGATGGAGAGTGGAAGCACAGAGTGGATGCACAGCCCGGTGATGTAGCAGCTGCTACAGTAGCAACTGTAGGAATCAGTTCTTTTGTTTTTTGAGGAGATGATTGGATGATTCAATTTGTACGAAAGCCAGCCGATAGGCTAGCCTGAAGTTAGTTTCTGCGAACGAAGTGAGCTTCCTACGGGGGTGCAACATGTGAATAAACACTGGAACCTTGGTGTTGTTAAAACTTCCTGATAGAGCCTATTTTGGGCGAGTCGGTGATGCAGAAAAGACGAATCTAGGCGGTTGTGGGGGTATTGTGGGTCGGAAATCATCAACATACTTATATACATGTGCTGATCACTGGGTCTCACCGCACGAGACCTTCAATAGGTTTGGAATATTCCAGCGTGCTGATGGTTGCTGGTGTGTTCGCTTGGCCGTGGAAGTCAGTTTGAGTGACTGCTGGCCGGTTCTGTTCGCCGTGTTCGCCCGTCTTCAGGTTTCGGCAGAATCAGAGTGTCTTAACTGTATTGGACTGTGCCTGGGTTGGTTCTTCAAAGGCACAGACCCAGCAGCCAACGAAGAGACCCCGGGGGGAAAACGAGCCACAAGATACCCTATGAAGCTCAAGACTGCATGGGTCAAGCCAGGCCCATTTCTGACATAGCTCCTAGACTGCATGGCGCGGCTCAGGTGGACCCGAAGGCCTTTTCTGGACGACGGCCGTCTGATCTGCTTTCGTGGGAGTCGAATGCTACCTCCGAGCTACGAGCGGATTCATGTGATCTTCCAGGTCGGTCAAGCATGTGTTCTCAGATTTTTTGAGGCAACATACCAAAGACTGGATGAATGGCCTCAGATTTGTTCGAAGATCTATATACTCAGAGCAAGATGAAAGGCAATGTTCCTGGATGAACATGCTTGGCGATAGGTAAATGAGGAGATCTGCTGTGCCAAGCATTTGCCCATCGTGCCCCTCTTTAGCGAGACCTATGTCCAGCTACATTGGGATGGCCGCCCCAAGACTGAAGATTGGCACTCGCTTTGTGCACCAAACATGCGCAAACGACTTTACTCGGTGAGTCCCGATTCAACGAACGTGCCGAGTTCACGTGCCGATCGGATCCCACGCCTCCGATCGCGCCTCCACTGCCCGTCAGGTCCGAACCTGCAGGATCCACTGCCTCCACTGCCAACTCCTTTGGACAGAGAGCCTGTTGAGATTGCACAAGCCAACGAGATTGACGTCCCTTGGAGAACAAACTGTGTCGAGTTCCACAAAAACTGGGAGACAACTCTATACAAGCGTAGAACATTGTAGAACTGTTTACAGTGCTGCCTGCAAGAGACACAGTACTAATAACACCTGGCCTTTTGCAGCACGGCTCCATTGTTCAGACATCCAAGGTCCACACTCACGCAAATGCAGTTTTTGAGCAGGGTGCAGCTGACGCCCTCTTCGTGTTGGAGGCCAGCCTAGCTCAGCTTGCAGCCCACAGGCTACACAGGCTGCAGTCTGTAAAGCTCTTGTTCAGCTAGCTGATGCAGTTGCCTTTGCTTTGGTGCAACCTGTTGGGCAAAGCCAAGCTGGATGAACACGTATCAGCAGCTCACTTTGTGGCAGGCTTTTCCCAATATCCCCATCAAAGTTCTGAAAGCGATAAAAGCTCGTCTGTACACATGCCTTACCTGGATTGATCTCACTGGATGCAAGCAAGATAGTGTTTCTTTTTTTCATCTTTTTTTTCATGTGCTTTTGTGTGTTTGCTTTGCACTTTGGATATCCGGAAGACCGCGTCACTATGCCGATTCATGTATTGTATTAGGTTTACAGGCACACATTTGGTACTTGCAAAAAGTTGGATCTTTATGCCTCTTGCTTGGCAGAGTCATGCAGTGGTAGACAATTAGTTTAAACACAACCGAAAGCAGGTGTTGGAACTGTGACTTGTCCAACTCCAGGACTAAACAGGGATCAACAGCGATGAACCATTTCGACACTGCCTTTGTGTGCAGGACCCTCATGGAGCACGAAACACTGGGATAGCACCACGAATCCTTATGGAGAACCGAGAGAAGCGGCCATGGACTTTTGAGAAGTCCATTCTGAAGGACTGGGACAACCTTCTAAAAGGCATCCAAAGATGTGATGAATACCCGGCATGCAATCAAAAAAATATACCGTCATCTCTGGTCCATTTTTTTTGCCCGGCTTGATTCCGGCGGGGCCACTACTTAGGATCAAGAACCCATCCTCCCGCAATGGCCCATGCTAAGCTTTCAACATAAAGAGGCCGTAGAGTAGCTTGTCGGCTGTCCCGCGTTCCCATGCATATTGCTGCGAAACACTGCTCAAAACCATCAGAGGAGTATCAACAAGATGCCAAGTCTATCATCACAGAGTGCTTTCGCAAAGACTATGCAATCACCAGGCGCGGCCTTTTGCAGAGGCTTGAGTGAATTGAACAAGCATTTAAATGGTGGAATGTTGCTTGTTCTTTGTACGCCAATTTGTGATGTTGAATGGTCTTGAACGCGAAAAGGCTGGACCGACTCTGGAGAAAGCTGCAGAAAGATCGACCCTATGATGTTGCAGCCGTGTCTAGGACTAAACATATGCTAGAGCAAGACCTCTGAGCTTTGAGGCTGGTTTTGATATTCACTTGCCTCGCTTGTAGCCTTGTAAAATGGAACGCTATCGCTGTCTCACAATGCCTTTAAGCCAAGGTACTCAACGTGCTGGAATCTCACTATGAATCTTTCATGGCTGCCTATTGTTTTGAGTCGATCAGATGCATACCTTTCGCTTCCCCAATTCCAGACCTCATGCGGGTTTCCATCAATGAAGCATACAGCATACGGAAGTTGAGGCTGATACACTTGAATTGGGCACCATTGCCTTTGAGTTTCTCACAACTCAGTCAGAATATAATATAATCTTTTTCTGGACTGGCATCAAAACATGTTCTGCATTGGACCCCTGACCTCTGACAATTCAATATGCCGACAGTGCAAAGACGCACACGTTTTGCAAGCAACTCAGCAACTAATACAACCTGAACAAGTTCATGTTGTACTGGATAGTGCACTTCCAAAGATCAATCTTCTCGAACCTTTTTGGAGAAAGACACCTTTCTTTGCTTCAACAAGCCGTGCGCGAGATCCTGCGGATGGGGGGACGGGGAAGCCCTTGACCCGTTGAGGTCAACTATGGACTGCAGCGGCCACCTGGCGGAAAGTAGGAATGTGTTCTCGTGGTGTTCGGGTTGCTACCCAAACCTCTAGTTAGCTTGTTCTCCAGTTTTGCCTTTGTGTTGACAAGCTCAAATTAGTTGCTTAACTGAGCTCCAGCCCGCGGTTGGGCTTGTCTCAAGACCTTTTCAATCGACGTGGCCCTATGCATTTTCCAAGGCAAGAGTTGCGGACTCTCCCTTGCAACCTTCTCTCGCTTGCTTCTGGGATCTGACGCAACACAAGACAGCAGGCGCACAATCATACCCTGTTTCACTTCAAGCTTTGAATGTTGACAAAACAAGATGTGATGCCACATTTTAGCACAATTTGGAGGGTGACTATGTACTATGTACGTCAAAGATTCACGTAGTGAGTGGGCACAGAGTTAACTACTATGAGACATGACAATGACATGACATGGTGCCTTGCAGGAACTTGTTTGATGTGTCTCCTCATTCCAGCTCCCGTTCGAGAAGGGCAACGCTGCTGTCCGAGGGAACTGTAAGGATTGGGCACCTTTGGACAGGTGACAGGAACACCAGTCGGCAGTGATGCATATTCGGAATTGAATGGGGAGTCCTACCTCATGGCATAGTGTTCCGGTTCTGAATGGCACGCTCTGGATCAGCTTAGTATCGCAAGGTTTGCACCCCTTTCCTCACAACATCTCCATTGGAGGATCCCGCGAACTGCGGCGGGAGAGCTCTTGAAAGCGAGGGCTTCACTGCCTTCCACACTGGATGAATCTCATCCTCTCAATGAAGGTGGGACCGATCTGTGCCGGGTAGCTCACCCTTAAACACAATGATTTGCTGTCCGATCTGGGCAGAGTTATTCAGAGTGTTTCCATTTCCACTGTTTGATTTCCATTTCCACTGTCTGATTCAGAGTTATTCGGAGTTTTCTCATTTGCCGTTGTTATGGAGTTGTTTCTGTCAGTTGGCTCCAGTCGACACAGATCTCAGCAAACCACGGTCTGACCACTGTTTCATTCATGCAGCGGAGTGGTCCAGGGGAGGGCCGACCGAGTCTGAGGCTTCAACTTTGGGAAGGCTGATGCCATCTACACTGCAGTGTTGGTAGACTTGGATCATTTGGATTCCAAGAGCCTTTGCTTAAAGGGATAGACCTCGACCGCAGCAGAAGATCGCTTTGTACTTTGGTATGACCTGCTGCACTTGTGTCATGACAGGTTAGAAGAATATGTCTCGCGTGAAAGTGAAGCGGGCAAGAACGCCGGTGTCAGCACTCCGCTTGGCCTGAGGGTTTGGAAGGGGCTTCCAGCGGATGGTCTTGCTCGCTTCCAATTCCTGGAGGTCTGTGCGTGTTTTTGCGCAGTGCTCTTCCAATTCCAAGACTTTTCCCAACTTCTTGTTCTCCGGGAGCCTCTAGTTGCCGAACTGCATCGCAGATCATGATGAAAAGATCATGTGACGCTTGAGTCAGGTTCTGGTCAATTGCAGTTTGGCATCGGACACCTACAGTCCAGTGGTGACTTTGCGACGCCTGGCTTGCAAAGTGCTCTAAAGTGCAATTTAGAGAGTAATTTGTTTCACACGCATTGTAGACCTATTTGTGTTGAGAGTCTTGGAGATTTCTTTGATATCTTTGATTGTACCAATTAAATCAGCAACACTAGCTAACATTTTGTTTATCTTCCTGATCTGATCTCTTGGGGCAGGGATGGCGGTTGGAAGAGTTTTTGCTGTCGAAGGTCGGTGGATCAAATCGATCGGGCTTGGGCAGCATGTGATGAGCTGCAGGACTCCGTTTATGTTTCTTCAACTCTCCAGTTACAGCAGATTTGCTGTCCACCGGCTTCGAATCAAGCCACCATTCCAACTAACAGCACTTCCATTAAAGCAATCGATTGGCTTCGATCACTTCGGCTCAGACGGCAGGAAAAAGCTCCATGCAGCTTGGCAGAAGTGAGTGGCTGTACCCTCCTGTGTCCCGTGGACGATGACACGTCATCATGGAATGACAATGCACCTGTGTCCCTTGCGGGAATGTGAGAGGTACTTAAAGACGCATCTAGTTCTAGTGAAAGACATGAGTGTCCTCAAGGTCCTTCAGTGTGAGAGGCCTCATTAAAGGGACCCAAGCACACTTTTTCTAATTGAAATCAGTATTTACTTGTTTCCTTCTCTCACCACAACAACTAGTAGGGAATTCCAAATGCTACTTCCAAGGCGGTGATCTTCACCGAGGATTGCTGCCATTGCATGCGCAGACATCAGAAGATCCTCCAGGTGAGCTCGCACGAAGGGCGTGGCTTTGCAGCGTTGCATTTTTTTCGTGTGATTTACTATGATTCAAGCTCTCTCTCTCTTTCTCTCTCTTCCAAATTTGTGTATTTGTATGCGCATGTATGCAGAATCTCGTGTTGTGAATCGGAGCTTGGACATGAATCAAGATCCAGCTTAAGGTTGTTGAGGAAGACCTGAGAGGGTGTGTCTGGAGTGGCTGGAGGGTCAGGAAACTGTGGGGAGGGTCGAGGATCTGGGGGGCCCTTTCCACTGAAAAGTCCCTTCAGGACGTGTACGGCACCTACCAGAAGCGTTTCCGCATCCCTACTGAGCCAAGTCTGACTCTAGGGCTGCACACAGTTTGTATGGATGCACATAATTATTGCAGCTGAATGTGGGTTTTTGCACACACCGATAAGCAGTAGGGCAGAGACTCACAGTAGGGTGCAGGCAGATAGCTGTGGGATGCTGTGGGTAGCAAAGTAGGAGGAATCTGACATTTGAGAAGAGTGTGCCTCCATCTGAGGATGTCCTTCAGCGCTTTCGTCCAGTTCCTACAGGACTGCAGTTGCCAAGCATTCAGCTTGGAGAGTGGCGATCTTCGGATGGCCTTCGCTTTGGGCAAGGAGCGTTGGAGCTTTCGATGCGTGTGCCTCATTGACTGCCCAGCAAGACATACCGAACAGTCTGACAATTGCTTGGCTCTTGCGGGTAGCAGCACTGCTCTTTCTGACAGAATGTTTCATCGCTAGTTGGAGGCCATTGCTATTAGGTTGGAGGCATTCCCCATCTCGCTGAACACAGATTGGAGGAGCTGTGCGTGGAGCAGCACCGAAGCCTCCGGCACATGGTGCTCAGATTCTTGATTGCACGGTCAAATGACAATATCGCCCAGCCGTGTGTAGAGAAAATCCACTTGGGAAGCTTAAGCAGTCAAGATGAGATGACAGTCTGAAAGAGACAGTGAGAACAGCGATGACAGTAGGATCAGTAGGAGACATGTTGGAAGGTATCTTGAGCGGCAGACATAGGAGGCGACCAGGCTACCCAGATACAACCTGCGAATCAGTGTATGAGAACTATCATGGAAGAGACTGGGCTGGCGTGTGAGACAGTCCCACCCATTTGCAGAAAAGAACACATCAATCAGACAGCATGGGGAAGGACAGTTGCAGGAATTGTTGTGAAGCATGAAGAAGACAGGCAAACAAATGGATCCAAAAGTAGCATCAATTCGATCGGTTTAGGCTGGAGCGAGTTCTTGGTGTGCACCACTGCGGCCGTATACCTTTCGGGGGACTTCCCAGAAGAGGAGCTTGCAGACAGGCGAGGGAGAGGACAACTTGGAAGTCGCTGGTGAAGCTCGAGAGGACAACAAGAAGTGTGCTAGTTCCGGACACCTTGGACATGTGGTTTACGCAATGAATCTGTTGTGAGAGGCAGGTATTCGAGGATTCAATCTATGTTAAAGTTTGAAGAGACCAGTTCAATTCCAGTAACCATTGCCAAATGTCTTCTGGGGCACTACATTTTCCCTTTCCATGGTACAGCAGCCTTTGACTTCAGCTGGCGTACTTGGAATGCACCGACCAGAGGCTCTTGGATTTCATTCTGGATGTGCTTCCACAAGCGCCACGGATCTTATTCTGTGTCCAGAAGCGCCACGTTGTCATGTTTCTTATTCCAGAAGTAGTTTCTGGTGTCGGCGAATAGGAGATAAATAGAGGTAGAATTGGAAGTAGAAGTGAGCCAGTGGTGTTTGGGGTAATGGCAGGAGCACCACCAGCAGTCAGTAGTCTTAACCGGACTATATAGTAGAAATGGTTGTAGGAGTGCAAGTGGTAAAGCATTGTTGTTGGCTCAGACCAGATCTCCCGTCGCAAGAGCCGACCGCATTTTGTGTGGTCAAAGCCATGGTTTCGTGCCTGCAGGGGCCAAAAACACGGGTGACCGCATGGTTTCGCGGATGTTCATGATATCCTGTTTCTTACCGCACAAATGGCCCCCATGGCAAACCACTGTGTAAATAGATAGCATGCTTTTGGGCCCCCTAATTGAACGACCATTTTTGATTCATGGCCGGAGGTCTTTTTCGGACGAGAAATCAGGTAGTAGAACCAGTTTCTGTTACCATGTTGTGAGAGTTGTCTGGGGGGATGGGGGGTGATGCTGGAGCTAATGTGCACTGGACCCTTCGGAATGAACACAGAGCCTCTATTGAACTTCATGAACTGCATGAATTTGTAAAGGTCTGAGGACATTTTTGAACTATATACATAATACTGCGTTCACTGTTGTGAAATGTGTGTGCAGCCTGCAACCCCACTGCAAATACCAAGTGAAAGCAACACTGGGAAGCCGACCGATCTTGTTTCTTCCCTCCCACTCTCTTTTGGGTTGAAGATCAATTAGGTTTTGATGTCCTAGGGCTAAGATGCGTTTATGCAAAAAGCGCACTTTGCACACCTTGCTGATTGCTTCCTTCCTCTTCCTGAGGCGCTTGAAGCTGGACGTGCAGCAGAGATGCAAGAGGTGCATGTGAAGTGAAGTGGCATCAACTTTGCAGTACAACGCAACTCTTTTCTTTCTTTCTTCCTTTTTCCTTGGGGTTCTCTGGTAGGAAGGAAAAAGCTGGCCGCAGTCTCTGACCGCGCCGGTGAATGGTGTGTCCGAGTGTTGTCCTCCTGCGCAGCCCCGGCTGCCAGCCGGTCTCCAGATCCTGTCCTCCTGTTGTCCTCTTTTTGTCCTTTCTCTTCTCCTCCTATTTGTCTTTCTTCTTGTCGTCCAGTTGTCCTCTCCTTGTCCTCCTGTTGTCCTTCTTCTTGTCCGTCTTCAGGTGCTCATCGGCCGCGGCTGCCAGCCTATCTTGTCCTCTCTTCCTCTTCTCCTGTTCTCCTCTTGACGTGCTCCCCTCGTGTTTTCCTGTTGTCCTTTTGGCGTTGTCTGGTCGCAGCTTGTCCTCCTTTTGTCCTCTTGGTGTGTTCATGTTGCTTTCCTTCCCTCCTCCTTTTGTCATCTGTTGTCCTCCTCGTGCCTTCCTCTGGTCTTTCTGTTATCCTGCCGCTGTCGTGCTGTTTATGTTGCTTTCTGAGGCAGGGGCTGCGGCCGCGGCCGCCTACAACAACCAACAACAACAACCAACAACCAACAACCAACAACCAACAACCACAACAACAACAACAACAACAGTTCTTGCTGACTGGGCTGTTTGGGGTCTATGCTGGTGTGGTTCCTTTTTTTCAAACATACTTTCATTCTTTCTGTTGCAGTCTCTTTTCTATTTGTTCACGTCCCATTTTCCGCTATTCTTGCGCCTTGGTGGATGAATCGATGAAATAGGACAATGGGTTGTTTGTTTGTGTTTGGCAAGATGCCTGCCTCCAAGCCCTGTTTTAGAATATGCCATCAGCGGATCTTTTCGTGGAGGTGGGCTACTTGACCTCTGGTGGAGACCCTCGGACACTACAGCTTGAGCCCTAGGAAAGGCAGAAGAGCAGGATTTGTGGCCCTATTTGCATTGACGATTCTTTTTTTCTTTCAATCATGGAGGTCCAGCTGCTTTTGTGGGAAGTGGTGGTCCTATGATTTCTTTCCCAAATCAACCCCGAACATCCAAGCGCTATTTCCTTGCATGCAGTTATATAAAGCGAAGCGCTATATAGACAAGAGGCTTCGTATATGTGAATCCACTGGAAACGGCGGCGGCATGATTCTGCAGTTTAATTTTTTCCTTCTTCTGGATCAAGGTTAGTGGGCTTGCTCACTCGTATCTTCAATGATGCCGACGAGGATGGATCTGGGTGGCTGACAGTGCAGGAATTCTTTCAGGCACGAGGCATACTCTGTTCCTCCATGAATGATGAACCATGCTTCTAAGATGAGAACCTTGTAGCTGCACTGTCATTTGCAAATGACCCAAGCCCTGGAAGGCACTGCAGCAACCTCGCATCATCGCAAGCTTGGAAGAGTGACATAGCTGCGATTGGAACACTGCATTGTTTGCATTTTATTGGGTAAACTGTGCAGACTTTGCAAGCTGCGTCCGCGTTAGGGAACATGAAGGAGACAATAGGGCACATGTGCCACAAGCCATAAAAGGAAGTACTCAGATGGGAGAAGGTTGCAATACAAGGACAAATTGGACAGATTGCACTCAATGGCTTTATTCTTTCTTCCACTCCCTGAATGAAATGGGGCATGCATTGTCAACCTCGGGGGACAGATGTCACCATGCTGCAGCTCCGAGGCTAGGTGTTGTGGTCGGAGATGTCAAGCTGCTCTTCCTGCGGATGGATGTGGATGATTCAGGCTACTGAAGGGGTGATCGAAGGGACTCTGTTTTGTTGGACAGCTGGGAGACGGGACGATGGAACTGAAGTACCAGTGCAGTTTGGACAATCGAGCCAGATTCTCCACCTCCTTCTGAGCCCTAAAGCTTGTTTTAGCCACAACAGCACTAGTGACTAATCATTCTTGATGCTCACAAAATACACACAGTTTTGAGTGGCCTTGAATGCTGAAGTTGTGGCACCACTTGAGCCTGTTTCGACACCTTCAAAAAAGGCACCACACATCACACCTGACTCGAAAGGAACCAGGGTTTGTTTTTGGTTCTTTTAATTCAATCTCTTGCAATGTATTTGTATTGATTGGCTTCTGCAATGTATATATTTGTTTTGATTTGTGAGGCGAAATTTCTCTCCGGGAATTCATCGAGGGCCTGTTGAAGCTTCGAAACGACATGATCGTCCTGGACCTGGGATTTGGCTGCAAACAACAAGCAAAGTCCTGTTTGTTGCTGGATTGAGACCTGGTTGGAAGAGACTCCTTTGAGGGCCTAACAATCTGCCTGAGACGCACAGTAAGAGTCCCTACAGTGTTTCGTCTCACTGTTTGAGGACTATGCTCTAGCCATTAGGACTCTAACCGTCACTTTGGGATCCAATGCACTCCAATCAAAAAAAACTGGTATCCCATATCATGTCCCTCTTTGGCGTCGTTTGCTCACGATTGCACGTCTAGAGGACAAGGGCATTCGTGCGGTGCGGAAGGTGCGACGACACAGACTCTGGACGCTCGCGTCAAACGACCTCAAGGAATTTGATGCAGATGTTCACTGCTTTCTAGTAACTAGAAGCTTCCTTGGGAATCGTTTCACCTGTAGTAACAATAAAGCTTTTTAGTAACTAGAAGCCTACATTTTTTAGTCGAACAGCTCCTCTCCCCTCGAAGTTTGCAGTCGAACAGCCTACTGGTGCCGGATTGGCCCACTGGAATGAGCTGGGGGTTTACGTTTGAGACCCTGAACATCCCCAAACGATACCTTAATGACCGTGAAAATGAAGACGTCGAAGTTTTCGGGGTGAAACACTGAGACATGAGGATGAGGATATGTCTAATTAAGCAGAATCTTCAAGCAAACGGCGATAGCTTGCAGCCCTCACCAAAGATGGTAAATCACAGGGGCCCTCCAACAAGTGAAGAAAGGCTTCAACACGAGATTGCACAAGTTAAGAACGTTGAGCCTTCCGTAATCGTCCCTTCACTTACGAAGCGTACAAACTTAAGAAGTAACTTCTTGAGTTAAGATGCGTTTCTACTCATTTTACCGGGTCTTCGGTGCCTTGGGTCTTCCGTCATCGACAGGCCTTCCTGAAACTGGAGACCAAGTATGGCACCGGCAACGTCACGAAAGACCAGTTCTTGGAGTACGTGACTGGTCGAGAGAACGGGGTTTTCGATGAGTACGGGCCATTGTGACATCCCTTTTTGCAGCTGATCGCCACCACCGAAGTCAGGTGAAATCATCCACTCCGAAGTTTCCGAAGATATGTGAAGTCTGAACTGCTTTGAAGACTCTTCGACTCTCCCTGCTGTCAGAGCTCACATGAATGACTGAGGCCAAGAATCCCAGGAATGCTGATGCCCTGGAGAAAGCTGGCATTCGGGACGGTCCAACCGATTTGGTATCTCCTGGCTTTCTTGCTTGCTGGCTGGCTGGTTCTTTCTGTTGTGGTTCTTTCTGTTGGAATGTCTAAGCGTTTGATCTCGAAGGCTGTTTGATGTTGAAGGTACTCGTATGAGTAAGCACAATCAACATTGTAGCACGGCAACGAGCAGGTCTCACGATATATTGGGCTTTCACTTTGACTCGATGTTTGCCCTTCATGCCCACCTCCTATTGTACGGGAATGTCACTTGTTAGGAGAGTTGGAACAGTTGGAGATTCAAAGACATGTCCTTACCACCTCCTAGAATTCCGCAAACAAGGCGGGTCTGTGAGTCTCGTGACTGCAATGCTTGCAAAGCCTCGCAGGAATCAGATGTTGGTGATGTTTGGGCAGCAGCAGAACAGGCAATGATGTGCGGTGGTTTCCACAGCCAACCTGATGAGTTGAATATTTATAGACAGAACAGAAGTCTGGGCGAAAGTGCATGAGCATTGACAGGGAAATGGCATGTTCAAGCTGCACCGAATTCAATGACTGCATGTTGGCAAGTCTTGTTTCAGGCCAAGAGCAAAGGCACCGGCACTATCGTGACGGCTGAGTCTTTAGTTGCAGGGTACATGGACCTTCACTTGGAGAAAGGTTTCCTGACGTACAAGATTTCGGTTTCATCGGCCTGCGCATGTTTTCTGGTTAGTGAGCTACTCGTACCTTTGACCTAGTCACTTGGGCTAAGAAACACCCTTCATCAAGAATGGCCGCGAAAAATCAACAGGTTTGTTCTCCCAGACAAGTTAAAACCATGCAACGGGGGATGACCTTAAGCTTGTTACTTTTCTTGACAGATGTTCAATGTGAAAAGCTTGGGTTGGTTCGCAGAGTCCACAGCATGAGATATCAACAATGATTTATCTATTGGTACCACAATTCCAATCACTTTCAATAGAGCTGAGGTCGCATCATCCGAGCCATGAACTTCCTAAACTCGAAACTTGTCGTCAGTCTGCTGTGTGGGACTAGCTCTTGCAAGCAAATGGCATATCGGAGCTCAAGTCCGGACAAGTCATCACAGAGGCATTTTTCTTCAAGCATTGCATGGTTTCAGATGCAAGATTGCAGTCAGTCCGGGCATTACTGTAGACACTCTGCAGAGTAGAAGGGTAGTTTCCGAGTCACTTTCCCTTGCAGATCTTCACCCAGGATCTTTCAAGTGGCCGATGTCGATGGGAGTGGTGCGTTGAGTAAAGTGGAGGTGGGCAAGTATTTGTGCAGAAAGGACAGAGGGGAGGATTCCACACTTAAGTTGCATCAACATGTCAAAAAGCATTGTTTGTTCCTTTCTATTCGATCCTTTTCGTATGCAGTAATCACATGTAAATGCAACAAATCCATGTGGTTCAAAACCCAAGCATCTATAGGAGGCCACAAATGTTGTTTTTGCCAGTCAGACACATCAGAGTTTGCAGATAACAGATGATAAAAGTGCAACCTTGGAAACCTACATCCATAATTCATAATTGTTAAAATGTGTAATTCATTCGCAATTGTCGTGATTCTGAGATATTCTGAGCATCCTTCTTGACTGATTCACCAGAACAAAGCATTTGTGCGCAAAACGTGCATGTACAGTTCTTTTGATGTCTTGGCAGATTTAGGCTGTAAAATTGATCAGGAGGTCACCGACAAATTGAGCTCGCTTAAGCTCTTTGTTCCTGACTGGCAGCTGGGGCAGCACGGATCTATTGTTTCCACGCTTGACCATCAAATATATGATGTTATTATGGTTATTCTCCATATTTTGTTGCTTACAAGCAAATGGAACGGTGATGGCGTAAACCTCATTCTGTTCCTTGTTTTCAATGTACAAATCGAACTAGACATTGCTTTCCTTGCTGACTTGGGCAACTTGGGAGCAAGGCTGGAGATGTTCGATGCAATGGACGTCAATGGTGATGGTGAAGCTCACTTAAACCAGATCTCGTCATCAGATTTCTGTTTGTGTCGTCGAGATCTCTCAAATTCCTCAACACACACACACAACACTCGAGTCTGCCACAAGAGATCAAACCCATAGTCGAATCAAGCTCTTCTATTGAGTGGGTTAAATGGACATGAACAGCAAGGTGAGAAGCTATATTCAATCATTTAAGGTAGGCAGGGTCGGTGATGATGAATTATTTGGGAAGCTTCGAATCAACGTCTCCCAATGTTTGAATGCTCAAGCCAAACTGGGGAGACGCCCCTTGAGGAGCAGTGTCGCTGCTGGTACCTCAAGCTAAACTTTTTCTTCCCGTTTCGGACGCCATGGAAAGCGCTGACGAGCAAATCCGCCGCTCTGCTGAACAGCAGAAGCTGGAGCGGTGGTGCGCTGCCCATGGGATTGAACGGCCCTCCGATTTGGCGTTTTACTTCGTTACCTACGAAGAAGCGCTGAAGCAGGGCCGCGCTGTGGCGGATGCCTGGGACCAGGCGCGCCGCGAAGCGGAGCTGGGCGCTGGGGCCTTGGTGCGAGACATCGTTCGTCGCGAACAAGTTTCGCAAGCTGCGCCGCGGCCTACCACATCTCCACCGTTGAGGCCACGACCTACTCCATCGCTTGCAGGGCCAGTCCGGCCCAGCACCCAGGGCCGTCAGTCGGGCGGCCCTGACGGCGGTGCATTGACCTTCTTGCCCCAGTTGATGGCCATTCTTCTGGCGGTCGAGCCCCCGCCGGCGGCTCGCTTGGCTGAGATCACCGCCAACTTCGAGGCAAAGCTCACGCATGTGCTCCAGAAGGCGGAGGCCGCCACTGTGAAACGGGCTTTGCACACGTGGCAAGAGCTTCAGGGGGCCATTGCGACCGCAGGTGGAGGTATCCCGGACAAACACCTCTTGGCCACCTTCATCCGGGAGCACAAGTCACCTACAAGGGCATATACGGCTCTGGGGTGGATCGTCCGCAACCTCAAGTTGCCATTTGACCTCTCCGAAGTGGTGAAACCTCGGGCTGGTTTGGGATCGCGCCTCGGCCAGGGGCAGGCGCAGGCGGCGACTTTGGAACCATCTATGGTCATCCACCTGTTGGGTACCTTGGAATCCACAATTGACAGTCCTCACTGGCCCATGGTGTTTTGTGCCTACGCCCTCTGTTTTGGTGTGGTCAGGTACACCCATTTACAACGGAGCTACTTGGTCGGCGGTAACGGGGGCATCCTCGTGTTCTGGTGCACGAAAGGTAAGACTGGCAGTCGTGGAGGCTTTGCCTGGAGCGTTCCACGGTATTGTGGCACGTTGGACCTCCTACAGGTGCTGGGCACCCATTTGAACAAAGTGCGCCCCAGAACAGGCGCCGGTTTCAGTCGCTGGCATTGGTTGGGGTTCGACTCTGCTACAGCCCAGCCGGTGGGCACAGCGCAGTGTGTTCGGATCCTACGACCATACCTGAGTGCGGCTATGGACGTTACCAGCCTCTCGTCCTACTCGTTCCGCCGAGTGCTTCCGACATTGGCAGGGTATGTGGGGTTATCGGAGACAGAGCGACTCGCTCTTGGACAATGGGTGGATCAGTCCTCCAAGTCTACGGCTACCACCCCTCTGCGCTATGACTCACGGAAACAACGCCTGGGACACCAGTTGCGCCTGGCCGGTTTGCACTTCTTCCAGGACCTCAACATGGCTTTGTGGGACGAACTGCCGACAGGCTATGCCTCTGCACGATGGTCCACTTGCATGGAGGAGGCTGACGAGCTCCTTGCTTCTGACCCCCAGATCCGCCGAGTTTCTACGGACTCCATCCCTGGCATGCCTGTGGTCAAGACCTTGCTGCCCGCTCAGGTCCAGATCATTCGAGCTACTGGCCAACGCCTCACTGCCGCGCTCAGGCGGAAGCGCCCGGCCCCAGCCGCGGCTGCCGGCCCGGTGACCGAGCCCACACAGGGGCCGAGGAACACGGTGTCAACATTTTCGTTCACCAGTCCTTCGCGGCCGGCGAAGCGGGCACGGGTGGAGCCTCCACCCAGGGCTGCTGCTGGCGGTAGCGCCCAACCGGTGACGCCGCCCAAAGCACCTCCGCCAAAGGTGCCACCTACGCTGCCTGTGGTTTCGCCCTCATCAGCTTCGGCATCTACTCCATCTTTGCGGGCACCACCACCTTTGCCGTCGACCTCACCTCAGGCATCTTCATCCTCGGCAGCAGCAAGCCCTTCCAGCGCGACACCTTCGGCCCCCAAAGTCAAGGCCATGCCCTCAGTGCTGCAACCGTCGCCGGAGCGGCCTCAGCACCTACAGGAGGCGAATGACGCGGCCTTTGACGCAGCAGCACGGGACCGCTGGCGCCGGCCCGGGCACAGCGGCGCCCCAGAGCCGCCCACGCTCATCTTCCTGGGTGAAGCAGGCAACGGCTCTATCTACTTGGGCGGTCTGCCCACGGACCGGGCCTGGTTGGAGGCCCACCACATCGGCATGAGCCTCAGCGCTATGGACAAGATTGCCGCCGACTGTCGGGGAGGGGTCAGCGCCCGCCAGGTCTACCAATTTAACGTTCCTGTTGGCCATCAAGGAGCCCTTCGTGACCGCCAGTTGAAGTTGGTGCTGCCTATCTTCCTGGCAACTCTATATTCGGGCTACTCCGTCCTGGTTCATTGCATGGCGGGGGTGCGCAGGGCCCCTGTGCTGGCTTGTTTGCTACTCGCATGGATTAGGCGGTGCTCCTTCGAGGAAGCGTACTCCCGACTGGAGGGTTTGCGGGCTATCGACCGAGCCGGTGTGCTCAGCCGGCGGGGTGGCTCTGATATCTTCAAATGGGCTCGGAGCCAGGTCAATATCACACCACCGTCCCTGCCGAGGTACCCAATTTCATTCATTACCTCTACGAAAGCAGGATCGCACTGGCATGTGGAGCGTGACAACGCGCCCTGGTGCAGATGGCGCCAACGCAATGCTGCTTATCGAGGCGAAGTCCACCGAGCTCGCAGCATTCATGAGGCCTTGGCCTATGGGCGAGATTTCTGTATCACATGTAAAGCAGTGCTTCCTGGCAATGCCCAGGTCCACTTGTACTAATAGCTGCAGTCCTTCGGAAACAGCACGCCTACCGGGTAGGCCGAGAGGGCGTCTCGTGTGCTATGCAAGTTTTTGCCTCATCTAGGGACTCGGCAGCCGGCCCGAGGAGTAGGTCCCTATTCTGAACGTCGATCAGGTTTTTATAGTCAGTTCTTGCATGCTTGCTGCAGCTTCTCGTGTCCCAGTGAACTCCGTACTACACGCCCATACCTTGTGCCAATGGACCGGCCTCAGGCGATCCAGTTCGTTGCCGTGACACTGGCGCCCTTGGAGGGCGAGGCCAGACGGGCCCGTGCTTGGGAGGTGGGGGATCAGATGGACCAGGCCTGTCAAGCCTTGAGGGCCCTTCCCCCGACCTCCACCTCTTGTCTAGGGGTGGTACAGGTTCAGTTGCGTGCTGCGCGGAACCTCTGTGAATCATGGATTGAATGAGATCCAAGACCTGCCCAGGGAGGCAGCACGCCCAGAGCCTAGGCTGGAAGGGCTAATGTGGCCGGCGGCCCCGAGACCTGGTACTTTGCCTCCCTACGCCCCATTGGTCCACACTACATGTGATGATTTGGCGCGTCATCATGATAGTCTCCATGAGGCCGATCGCGCTCCGTTCCGTCAGTTGCTCTATACCGCCCACTACGAGGCCCACGCGGCAGGCGAGGCTATCGGTTGGCCAGCGCTGCAATGCCTCAACTACATGCAGAACCGCCCAGACTGGGACGGACACGCCTTTGGTCCACGGTTGGTGGGCCCATTGGAGCGCAACACCATTGCTATGAGTGGCCTCCAGCAGCCCGGAGCGGCTGCTGCTGCTAAAGCCTTACCACCTATGATCCCCTTTGGCGTAGGGGAGGAGCGACATTTTGAACTCGCCCTTGAACTGCAGCAGAGACCTACCCCATTTGAAACCATGGGTGTTGTCGATGATGACTTGATCTTTGCCGCATCTGGCTATGCAGCCCAGGGAGTGGGCCTGCGTGAGGTGAGGAGACGTACAGGCCGTTGGCTCCAAGAACTGAGTCGTCGAATGTGGCCTATCACCTACCACCTCCAAACTTATCAGCCACCACCTGTCCGATCAGCCACTCGAGGTCGCCACATCGCCCTGATTGGGTTTATCATGCTGATTACCGGATGGCCAGACACTACGTTCGTGGCCAACCTGATATATGGATTCCCCGCCGTGGGCTTTTCCCCGCGTGTGCCAGTCTACAAGGCTCAACCAGCCCACTACATCCCGGACGCCTCCATCTACCAGGACGCCCTGCCAGAGGCTGCCCGCATCATTCAAAGCCTCCGTCCAGGTGAACACGACACGGCTATTGTCCAGGCGGGTGAGGAGGACCAAGCCAAAGGCTTTTGTGGCCCCCCAATGACATGGGCCCAACTATGCCAGGAACTCCCCCAATTCAGACTGATCCGAAGGTTTTGCATACAGCAACCCTCTGGTAAGCTGCGAGTCATAGATGACGCTGCAGACGGAGGGCAAAGTGCACTCAGCTCCGATGCGAACAAGTTGGATCTATGTACGAGCATTCAACCTGGCCTCCATGTTCAATTGCTATGGCAGGCAGCCTCCTCTTCGGCTCATGCGTCTGAGTTGCTGCAAGCTGGTATTTGGTCCGGGGGCGAAGACTTACCCAACGCTTACCGCTATGTCCCCATGAAGCCGACACATAGCAACATGGCCGTGGTGGCTTACTACGACCACCACGTTGGTGGCCCCCGTTTTCGGCAATACTACGGTTCTCTGTTCGGGTTACCAAATGCTGTATGTTCGTTCAATCGGTTTCCCCGATTCTTTCAAGCTGCATGCCGCCGCCTGCCTATAGTGCATGACCAGTATGTACTTTGATGACTTGACAATCCAGGATTTTGGTATTATGGGCGGCACTGGCCAGGCCTTCGTCAATGAACTCGCACGATACCCTTCCAAACAGAGAAACATCAGTCCTTGGCGGCCCAGTCTGATTTTCTGGGGTTGATCCACGACGTGGCAGCCTGCCACCAGGGTGCTCCTGTCAAGTTCTGGGTCCGTGACCGATTGATTACCAAGGTCACCGACATCATGGAGGAGGCCACTCAGACGCGTCGCCTCCCTCCAGGGCTGGCGGCCAAGCTTTTTGGCTGCCTGGGATTCTTGACCACGGGATGCTTCGGCAAGCTCGGCCGGTCGGGCCTCCATAGCATCAAGGAAAGACAATACTCCTCGCAAGTCGTGATGACACTGGAGATTGAACAGTCCTTTGATCGAATTCGAGCACTACTTCAGTTGAAGCCTGAGAGAGAACTACCGCTCAATCCAGTGCGGCAACACCGGTACTTGGCTGCATCCGATGCGGCGCAAGAGAGGCCTCGCGAGGGTTCTGCGGGAGTCTTGTTCATTGACCCCCGTGGTAGCCGAAGGGCCTATGTTGTCCACATCAGCCCAAAGATCTTCACGGTGTGGTCCCATCATGAGGCCAAGATTGCACAGCTTGAGCTCTTGACAGTCTACATGGGCCTTGCATACAATGCTTCATCAGCTCGAGGAATGCCTGGTATATGGTTTGTTGACAATATCGCTGCACTCATGGCCCTCATACGAGGCCGCAGCAACAACGATGAGCTGGATTCTATGGCCGGGGCTATCCATGGCCTTCTGTTTGCACTCCGTAGTGCGTGCTACTTTGAATGGGTCCAGAGTAAGGACAACTGGTCAGATGGCATCAGCAGACAGGGAGAACACGACCCGTGGTTCCAACAACATGATTTTCGTCTCTTCCACACCTACCCCCTGCTCATGCTCCTCCAGCTGCCCTACCACCTCATCGCTCAGGTCTTTCAGTTCGTTTGAGTGCTTTGGATACGTTAGTGCCTTGGATGGAGTGCTCCCACAGGGAGAGTGTCAGATGTCAGATGACACAAGCGACGTGGGTCGCATTTCAAACCAAAGCACTTCAGTACAGACAGTACAGACCTGAATCGACTCGCAGAAAAGGGTAGCAGCAGTCGACATATGTTGAGCGAGATTCATCGAATATATTCAATCATTTAAGGTAGGCAGGGTCGGTGATGATGAATTATTTGGGAAGCTTCGAATCAACGTCTCCCAATGTTTGAATGCTCAAGCCAAACTGGGGAGACGCCCCTTGAGGAGCAGTGTCGCTGCTGGTACCTCAAGCTAAACTTTTTTCTCCCACCCTGCCACACCCTGTTAGTTACTTCCATGTCCACCTGGTGCTGGTCGAGCTGGTGGCTGACTTGGCTTGTTGCCGGAAGAGTCTGGTTTCCTGGTGATAGTCACTTCACCGTTGGCCTTGCTGGTGCTTGAGGGCCGTGTTTTAGGTTACTTTCAGTTACCATGGCTATGCTTGCTACGCTTGCAGCCTGGGCTGCCGGCCATGAGAGACTAGGACTGTGCTGTCTGCCGCTGCCGTCCGGTTGTCCATTTTCGGCTGCCCGCCGCCTAGCCATCATACCTGTTCTGCCGGTCCCAGGTATTGACGATGACTAGGGAGTTTCATTTAATCTTTTCATTTTGCTCTGTCCAGAGCTGGCATCCGTTGTGGCCGTAGGACCGCCCCTGCGGTATCCTCTCGGTCACTACATACGGATGGAGTGCTCCCACAGGGAGAGTGTCAGATGTCAGATGACACAAGCGACGTGGGTCGCATTTCAAGCCAAAGCACTTCAGTACAGACAGTACAGACCTGAATCGACTCGCAGAAAAGGGTAGCAGCAGTCGACATATGTTGAGTGAGATTCATCGAATAAGTATATATACATATGTATATTACGAAAGCCAGCCGATAGGCTAGGCTTGATTTTTTAGACCGAACGAAGTGAGTTAAGGGAGTAGGTGAACCTGGAGCTTGCCTGGGGAGAGCACTGCAAAGCGAGGGTCAGAAAAGCAGTGAAAATGAGGTCTGGTGATGCGAGTGATGCAATGGACGCCGAGTAGTGCATCATTAGCATCACGAAGGGCTGTGGAGGCTATTTGGACAATGGGCATTGAACACTGGAGTGGAGACAGGCACCCATGTACAGAGCAACCACCCCAGTCTCTACTATACTTGAGAAGTCTGTAGTTGGTTGGCAGCGACGAGTGCCTATCAGAAAAGGGGCCCGTGTGGATAGCAACTTGGTGGGGTGAAGGGATTGCTGTTTGAGGATGGGTTATACTCACGGATCTGTGGAATATTTTTGGATGACGGTTGGTGACACTCATGTTGAAGCATACAGTGCCTGCCATCGTCCTAGTAAGCATGTGTTACTTAGATGGTTCCTTCTTTTGACCCTCTCGTCTGGCGGCTGCTGGCTTTCGTTCCCCCCCCTTCTCAGGTACATATATATATATATACATATTTGTGTCACGGTTTGTGGTGATGTCAGGGGGTGGCAAATATTTGATGTGTGTCATCACTCAGACGCCTTTTGAGTAAAATGATCTCGACTGCAAACGGGCTTCCCTTTAGGATTTGACATGGGCGGAGCTATCAACTGCCATGAAGAGCTTTTGGACTCAGTCATCACAGGAGGCGACCCTCGGATCAGCAGTGTGAACAGATTTTGGAACGATGGACTGGTTGGTGGATGAAACAAGAATTCACAATTCACTTTGATGTGACACTTGAACAAATTTCAACTGTGGAGCTAAGGCCTGAATCTGCGGAGGATGGGCTTGAATGCAGTCAAAACTCCTTTCCAGACATGCTGTACTGTAGTATTTGTCACATTTGTGTAGCTGTTCCTATAGAGATCATCAGACGGGACAGCAACACTCGAGGGCCCCTCGCAGCACCTGGAGAGAATGAGCTCTTGAAGTGGTGAACAGCAGCTCTCGCCTACACTTCTCAGGCACAAGCCGTGTTTTGCTCGTGCCGTACCAGATTCGGACACTGTTTTGTAAAAGAGATAGATTGAGTTTGCGGACTTTCAGTGGTTGTTCACGTTGTGCTCAAGTTGCACATGTTTGACCCTGACAAGGTCAAAAGATGTGGATTCCGCCTTTCTCAACTGTCTGGAACATGTTTGCAGGGCAGGACTCTGGAAGCAGAATCCTGAACAACCCTCGCTTATCTGAGTTGAGGATTTCCTGGGCTCTTGATAATGCACACTGCAAGGGAAGCACTCAAAGTGCTCTTCTCTTGCGTTTCTTTAGAGCGCGCGTCCAAGGCTTAGCTATGGCTTCGCGTTGTACAATGTTGCCAAGGTGTTTTCTCTTGGCAAGATATTTCCGGAAAAAAGGCAACTGTCTGAGCCTGGCCTGCAGCAAGAATACAAGTATAGTTCTGACAAGCATCCACTCCGAACAAACAGTTCCTTAATTTGCTAAACTTTACTTGGACAATGTTTAACATATAAATCAACTTTTACATTTTACTTTAACATTACTTCCTTAACAGTTCCTTAATTACGTGTTTTTGTTCCTTTCACATCTTACGCGCCAACGCAGGCGGGGGACGCCACCTTCACCGCTTTGAGCCGCGCCTTAGCAGTGCAAGGCACGGCTGTCAGGATGCCGTGATTGTGGTTTGGAGGGAAAATGACCGGAGTAAGGAGCCCCATCTATTCAACATTTTGTTATGGGATTTCTTAAATACTGGTGGCAAATCCCCTGGCAATCTGTTTGATCTCTGTACAAGCCCTGCACTTTTATGCTTCTGAAGTTGCATCTCAATGCGACATAGAATACATCCTTCCGACCTTCAGGTTTGTCCAGTGTGGAGAGATGTTCTTAGAATTCCGTTCGGTGCAATGGAATGCTTCTTGTTTGGGCCGTGATAAGATCTTATCAGCCCTGACGCAAAAGGAATGTCAGGGGATTTGCGCTGGGTGTTGTTTGGGTCACACCATCAGTGCAACAGTTTGCACGTTGCTAGCTAACTGCAACCTTCCCTGCTACTTGTATGTACAGTACATGTATATATAGTTACATATATCATATTGTTCACATACACAATATTGTCAATATTGTAGCTCAAACTCTTTGTCCTTTCGGCGTGTCTCTTTGCAGGTCACTGACTTGCGGACAAAGAGGGCCGCACACTTCTGCCGTCTAATCCAGGGATCTCATGAGTCTTTATATTTAGGCAGCTTTCCTTTGTCCTGTTAGTGATGCACATATTTTGGACAGAGGTGTGACAACTTGAGATATCGGACTGTAGGACAGAATGCACCCCGAAGATCAGGCTTTGGATCAAGGCTTGTGCCCCCAGAACACTCAACATACACAGACGTTTCGATGCTCTAGACTCCTTGGCTCAAGGACAAAACCACACACTTACAAATCCAAAGATCCCACAGTACTTATTTGAGGAAGATACTTGTGACTCTTCCCCATGTAGTTTTTCCACAAGATTTGCAGCTTGCTGTACTGGTGCTCAATCCGTGAACGCCATGAATGGAGAAGAAGAGAGAGAGAGAGAGAGAGAGAGAGCGAGCGAGCACTTGACACTTTGAGCCTTGACACCGTCCGTCCGTTGACACTTCCGGCGAGATGTAAGTCTTTCCCAGCCGAGCTCATCACAGCCAACCTCGTACCTCCTGGGGTCGAGAAGTCCCCTGCGTTGTCGCTATGAACGACGGTCGGACGCCAGCGGTGCTCGCTCCGTCTGGCCGACACGCAATGTGGCAGCCGCAGGCCATGAATGTTTGATGTCCGATTTGCGGGTTTGTATTTCGAGAGACACTTTGCTTACAGCTCCATTGCCGCTGTGCATGAAACCGCAACTCAGATACTTAGAGGTTGCAGGATTTTCTTGGGGCCTCAAGTCGTTATGTGGGCAACCTTTATGGACCGCGGACTGTGGATCACTTCACAGATTTGTGGAACCCATGTTGTATAGTGGAGGAAGGACATGTGCCTTCTCCTCAGTTTCGCTTTTTTTGTCCTTCTTGAGCTGAGCCTTGCAGGTCTTGCACTTTTCCTTTGGGTGATGGGCAGGGTGGCCCTATGTGGAGTGATGTGAGCTTGGTGACGGGCAATTTTTGAAGAGTTTGATTAGGAAGTTCAGCCTTCAGTGTGACCCAGCCATTTTTGAGCTGAATTAGGACGTCCCCCAAAACTGATTGGTGAAGCAACGTGTTAAAGATTCTTTTCACACAAAATTAGAAGCAGAGAGTTGCAGCAGATTTTTCCCTTGCCAAGGCGATGCCGAATCTCCACAGCCTCCCTGCCATGTCTTGAACCGACTCCAGCCCAGCACCCCATTTCTTTGCTTTTGAAAGACTTCTGACGGGGTTTTCAACTATAAATATCCGGGGCGCAAAACAATTTTGTAAGAAGCTGAAGAAATGAATTGAAGCAACTTTTGGCACGCACATGCTTCAGTTTTATGTAGAGGACATTTGGGAGATGAGAAAGTTGGGCATCTGGATTTGCCCTCTTCGGAGCACCTCTGTCGTTTTTGCATCCGTTTGCTCCCTGCGAAGTGTTGCAAGAAGAACTTGTCTCCTCGACAGGGGGAAGCTCACGCGCCGTGTCACAAACGTTCGGAGCCCCATGCCATGCCGCTGTGAGGTGGAAGCTGGCCCATCGCTATCATTAACCAGGTTTGATGGTGAATACTAGAGAGATTGTCTGGTGACCAATGATACTTGCAAATCATATCATCAGGGCGGCACATAGGGAGCCGTCGTCCAGAAGTGACCGACTGAAGCCATTTGAGTGCTTGAACTCCGTTTTGATGCATTCTACGCAAAGAAAGACGCTTTCGTGTCGCCATGGTTTTTCGCTTCGCGATCTTTTCATTAGCCTGTGTGGCCATCAATGGTTCCTGGGTTGTGGCATGTTGCGGCAACGTCAGCTTCAAACTTCCCTGGAGTAAATGATGGTTTCCAGAAATAATTGAAATACAGGATATACGCCAAACGTCCTAAATTAGATGATTTATCTTAGGAGCTTTAAACTCATTAGTAGCCAATGTACCCTAAAGAAACTACGAAACTGCCAGCGAAACTGCCAGAAAAACATCCATCGATTCATGGCAATGTCGTATCTTTCAGGATGGTCACCATAGGGATGATAGCCGTGGAGGGTAGCGAACCCATCATCCACTTAAAGCTATTACTGTAGTGATATAAGCCAGGTCAACACCGGTGTGGTGATCACCATGGCATCCTCTTGACCCACCAAGACAGCAGGGCGATGTGATAATCGATGATATCGCGTCATCACTGTTTCACAGGTTTCCGTGGTTTCTACCGGGTGGCTTCAGCTGACATTTGTTGATAGGAGCTTAAAAATCAAGTCAATGGGTCATACATACCAAAATTGAGTGAGCAATCACGGAATAAAGTATGTAGTTCTGATAGATTCTATTGGATCTTGTATGCTCATCGGGTTGACTTGGGATGGTACCGAGTCCCTAACCATTTTCAGGGTAGAGACGTCGAGCAGTGTAGCATGGTGTAACAGTGTAAGTGGATTACGTAGATAAAAACTGATTCATGAAACATGAAACATTGACATTTCCTTAACCAATTGGTTTTAATATGTTTTAATACTAACATCATTTGATTTGGGATGACTTGGGGCCACCCCTATTTATGGAAACCACCACATGGATGAACTGAACGACTTATGACTTATGACTGATTTGATCATAGACTGATCTGACACGCCGCCATGGTTCAAAAACCGATGGTCCATGTTTGGGAAGGATTTCCATCAAAAACTAATCTATGTTCATCTATTGTCTATTCTGATGGCCGTTGGGTTTCCATGGTATAGTTTATCTATGGCTATGATACCATTTAGGGGATGATTTCCGTTAAATTTTAGTCGATTTTGGATGGGTGATCGGTGGGTAGCAGGTCATGACTTGACCATAGTACTTGACCCATACATGACTCATGATACAACACTAATTCTTCTATTCGGTAGTTGGGAACCCATCGGTCACGAACGACCCATACCCGACGCAGTCGGCCGCCACCGGAGCCCCAAGGACTCTCCGATCTCGACTTGGCCGACGACTCGTCCTGCGACGACGCGGTGCTGTCCCTACGACAGCTGCGAGGTCAGCAGTTTGAGGCCGAGGTGGCCGAGCATGCAGGACGGATCGACGATCGGAGAAACACGGCGGGATGGGATGGGAAGATCCGATTGGGGAAGATTTGGGTGAACATTTGGGTAGAATTTTGGTTAATCTATGGTTAATTTATGGTTAATGAACTTTTTGGATACATGTTCCATTTTGGTATTTTTATTTGATTGGTGTCTTTTAAAATTGGTTGCTATAGATTCTAATTCTAATTCAATTCTAATTAACTTAATTCTAGTTATTTTTAACTCTATGTATTTCTTGCTTCTAATAGCGATACCCTTGCTCCTAGTAGTAAGGCCACAAGCCCCTACTAGCGTCAATTCTAAACTGCTTAGAGATGACCACCCGCTCACTTTCAGCGTCGCTGTTTGTCCTTCATTTAGTATCAAGCCGTCGAAATTTGAGATCTAGAATGGAATCCTAGGATTGATAAACCCCATCATTGCCCATCCATGGGCACCCTTAACCATCAAAAAACCAGGCTTTAGTATCAACCTTTGTTTTTTCATGGTGACTTGGGTGCCCATGGATCATTAATACACCATATTAATAAACCTGGGTTTATGACTCTGAGATCGGTTGCCACCGATTTTTAGTCGCCAATGCAAGGGGCTCCTTCGATGCTATGAGATTCACCGATCAAGGAATCATGGATTCGTGGTAGATGAAAAAATGGATGGGTATAAATGCGTTTAGAATCCTTCATGATACTTCAGCACCAATTCGACGAAATTTTGACTTGTTACTTGTTACAGCTTTTTACACTACCCTGTTCACCTGTTCACATGTTTAACCTGCCGGACCAGTAACGGTCATGTCGCATCCCAACCTTCGGGTTCCCGACCTCCGAGCCCCCAAGCAGGACCTACGGGTGAAGCACCAGCGGCTGAAGTGCCAGCTGAGCCCA